CGACAAAATATGAATTTCGATGTACGTGGCTTCTCATAGGCGGTGCCCCCATGCGATTCGATGATCCTTCAAGATTTATCAGAGTTTAGTGGCTGGGCACCGCATCTTTCTCTTTTTTCTTCTCTTCTTCGGATTGACAGGCCTGTTTCAATGCTATCTTATTCTCCAAACAGCGGCTACGCGGTCGGCTCTTCTAGAGACGCTTGGCATATTCATATGTGCCTTTTGTAGTGGAGACGAGATCGTGGCTATTGAAGTAGTAACCTGCCGGTCCACTGATGTGATTTGACCGAGCATGTTCTGTTTGCTTAGTAATGATTCAGACATGAAACTCGTTCCACTTCATTGGATCGGTAAGGTAACATGATGAATAAAATGCAGAATAAAAATATCATGATTATTTATTTATATTTCTCAAGACAAAATGATAAGTTAATACTCATTGTTGTTGTTTCGATTGAATGATTCATTTCATTTCATTTCATACTTGGTATTTTACGAACAGAAAGGTAAACTGCTGGTCCTCATCAAAGTTTAATTATTATGGTGCAAAAAAAGATTTTTTTTCGTTGCAAATGTTGAGAACATCTGATGCATTTAGTTGCTAAAAAGAAATAGAATTTGCATTTATGACTATTGAAAATGTCAGCATATTGTATACTCTTGAAGAAGTGTACTGCTCAACGATTTCTTCGATGAATATTATGTACAATATCGCTTGCCGATTCGAATTTAATCCATAAATGTTAAGAGGAAAAAAACCAGAGCCACTAAATTCGTTTTGTCGCGACTTTAGAGTTTTTGCTTCTATTGATACTATTCAATCCTATACAATTAGTCTCAATAAGCATCATGAAGACATCGAAATCGCACACTCAAGATAGATCAAATTCCATGGTCTACTATCTAAAAAAAAGTAAACAACATATGTTGGAAGAAAAAGTGAAATCCAATTGGCTTTCAACATACGCGAATGAATGAAAGAGGATTCTGACTAAGGCAACTCGTATAAAAACTTTTTTCACAGTCGTAAAGCTGAATACGTAAATAAAGAGAAAAAATATAATTATCAAAAAGTATATAGTTTTTTGAGACACGAAGAGCTGCATTCATTTTTATTGGTTTAAACTTCTATTTTGTGTTGACAACATCATAATCATGTGCTTTGTTTCTTTGTCTGTCACCCCTATCGACTAACAAAGAGAGAGGGCGAAGCAAGATAATAATTGTGCGTCGGTGATGCAATACTTTTCATACGTATAAAAGCACTGCAATTTCTTTCATTTTCATCTCATTTTCAACAGAGAAAAGCGCACTTTAAAGCGTTCGTTCTCTTGAGGTCGACAACCGCTTACTTCGAAACAAAACTGTATCAAAAAGTACTGCGATAACAATGCGCGGTGCCACCATCGACTCGATGGTCTTTTAAGATTTATCTTGGCTCGTTGGATGGACACCGCATCTTTTTTCTTTCTTCTTTTTTCTCTTCTTCGGATTGACAGGCCTACTCCAATGCTATCTTATTCTCCAAACAGCGGCTACGCGGTCGGCTCTTCTAGAGACGCTTGGCATATTTATATGTGCCTTTTGTAGTGGAGACGAGATCGTGGCTATTGAAGTAGTAACCTGCCGGTCCACTGATGTGATTTGACCGAGCATGTTCTGTTTGTTTAGTAATGATTCAGACATGAAACTCGTTCCACTTCATTGGACCGGTAAGGTATAACAACGAGCAAAAGAAATATTGAAAAATCATGATTTTTATTTCTATGTGACAAAAAAAAACGATAAGTTAATGATTCATCTCAAATGTATTTTGTCGTCGAATACGTATGGTTGTTGCTTTCATTGAATGATACAAATCGTAGGTACTCCAATGTAAACCATTTCGTGCTGTATTTTGTAAAGCAAGTGGCGATCGTATATAAGCTCCGTTGAGATGCGATTGAAAACAATTCGTAAACCACCATGCACCATGATAAGTTAGTGCACAATTATCATAAAACAAATTATCTAAGTCACGATCATAAGTAGAAAACGGGATTCCATTAGCGCTGTCCCATGATGGTGACAGCGAATCACCAGCTGTGGATATATTTGAACGAAATTGAGATATTAACAATTTATAGTTTTCATTTTCATTGCCAACAGAAAATTTACCATATTCAGCTATACGCATGGGAGCATCCCAAGGTTGTAACTCTATTCGAAGACTGAAAAAAAGAATGTTTGTTACGAGAGATTATTTGATATCGATCAGCTTACATATATCTTCCTTGAACTGTCAATTGATGAATTTTTTCATTGCCTAACCAAAATTCGCCTTGTAAATCGCCAAAACCATTTTTATAATCATTCCATCTACGATAAAAATCAATTGTACCATTGATTCTTCGTTGAATAACTGTCCATCCTATCCAATGAAAAACTTATTTTCATCATCCACGGGTCACGTTATAATTTACCTATATTATTTTCAAATATACATTTGACATCAAATGATTCCGTTGCAAAGCGTGGTTTTATACGGAAAATTCCTTCATGAACAGGTGATAATTGTTGACTAAATACATCATCACAATCTAAACACAGAAAAATTCAATTTTGAAATAACACAAAACTTTTCGCCTCTTAAAAAGGCAATGAACCTATGGGCACTTGGTGCTTTTGAGCCGATTGTTTCGTTGAAACCAGTCTTCTTACGTGTTGAACAGGCTTCTGTTGTTGATGTAAATCATTTAATACATTATGCAAAACCGTAGTTAAATTTTTTATTCTATATTCCATTGATGATAAATTTAATGCAACTGATTGTTGTTCTTTCAATAGACGTTCAGCTAAATTTCTCAATATTCGACTCGTATTTCGTATGGGTAACGATGAATTTTTTATATTCGACACCTCATTTTCTAAATAATATAATTTCATTCGTTGACTATTATAATAACCAATCATTTCTTCAATGACAATGTCCGTAATTTCACCTTTGATACTTGTCATATAATTTAACATCGATTTTCGTACTTCTTCTTGAACAAATTCCCGACGACGTAAACGTGAGTGAACTTTATTATGTGAATGTATGGATGAAATCGAATCCACCGTTAAAATAATAAAACAAATCAATATGGCCAACGACATTCTTCTGTGCATATTTTTTCAATCTAAAACAAAAACTAAGAAATTTTACTAAACGCAGCACCATTCGATAGTCTATTAATTATATCGCCCGGATAGATAGATATACCATGAAGAAGCAACAAATTATAGAAGAGCAATTTATCATTCTCTATCCTTGAACATTCTGTGAAGAAAAATGCGATTTCCTCTTCTTCTTCTATCGCTCTCTATCTGTATAACAATCAACTCTTCATGTTAGATATTATATCATTGCAAAGAATGATTGAGTTGTTGTTCATCGGCATGAAAAGGAAGAACGTGACATGTTCATTTGAATTCGATACTGCTGAATGAAAACACGTGTTGAACGACCTGAAACAGTGATACGATGATGATCAGAAGAGGTACCGCTCGTTGTTCACTAACGAACATTCTGCTCACATCAGACACGCCTTTGCATTCTAAATGTATATCGATTTTGTTGTTTCTATAAATGAAGAAGCTGTTCTACATTTCATTGTATAAACAAATGAGAACAGATAGTTAACCGTTTTATTTCACAATGATTATTCTGTCCGCCGAAGACAAATTATCAAGTATATGCATATTCTGCCTAGTTAATTCATTATACGAAAAGAAAAAGTTCAATAGTAGTTATAGTATCTCTCTCTCTCTCTCTCTCTCTCGCTGTATCGTCTGATAATGAAGAACATCTGTTTGTTTGATTCTTTTTCATTTTGCTCAAATATAAGAAAATGAATGTCATGTTAAAATAACAGAATTGTCTATCGACGTTATTTTTTTATTTCATGCATAGATGCACATAAAAGAGAAGGTTAAAATTAGGATAGTTTAGTCTTCTTTTTTCAAATAGAATAGATAACCGTTAGATATCCAGATGGCTGATCAACCGGTAAGATCATCATCGAATGAAAGTCGAATGATGATGACTCGTAATTGCTCAAGGTTGCATGATAAGAGACCTTTTTATTTATGATTTAAAACTATTGTCAATAGTAATCCTATCTACTATTTATTGCAAGACGATTGATTGACATGATAAACGAGACTAATGGAATGCACATGCTGTTCATCGTATGAACACATCGACAACATGCATATGTTTTCTTTTAAAGACGTGAGTGCAGTTGAGCAGTAACCACCCATCGGCACTGTAATATTACAAGTGTTTGTTTAAATTGAATGTAAACAATCGATTGATTTTTTTTGTCGAATTGCAGATGTTTTGTTGAAAAGTTATTTGCATCGTGTTGCCACTGTAACGGATTTCAACATACGGACTAATGAGATATTGGAATTCGGTAATATTACGAACGCTTAAGAAGTTTGTTCATTAATTTCCAATCATAATCTTCAGACATATTTGTTTACATATTATTCTCTCATTATGTCAAGTCTTAATTTATAGTTCATTAGATCATCGTGTGTGTATAGGCGAAGAAATTAGTTTACTACAGAAGCGTTGACTTGTATTGCTTAAAATTTTTTTTAATAAAGTTGATTCGACCGGCGGTGTGAAACAAGGCAAAACACATCTGGAGAGCCAGCGGGTGGTGCAAAAACATGTTTTGAGCTTTTTCCTTTTTCAAGAATCATTTGTATATACCAGTTGTTCACTGAAATAGAGGATTTCATGCGGCATTGGAATAATTAGCCTTGCGTACAAAAAATAATTCTAATCTGAATACGTAAAAGAGAAGACATGGTTGGCAGAGGATTCAATAAATTTCGACTGTTATAAAATATGTAGAAAAAATCTTTTTTGTTTTTGAAAAGTAATAGTGCTGTATCCTTGGATAAGAAAAGTCGGACTAGACGAATACGCTTTGTAAACCTAATTTCCGTTCAAGTGACAGAAATATCTTCAATTTAACTTGCCCATCTCTGGTTTACTAAATGCAATGAGAGTATCTATAAATATATTTTATTATATAGTTGTTTTTCTTATTTTTCATAACGATGAAAAGTTAAAAAAAAAAGAAAGATAGTTTATTTAATCGTATCCACCTTGATCTTTAAAGACACGTTCAATGTCTGCATTGTGCGGATTCATGGGTGGTATCCATTGTGGCCGATTTTTTTGTAACCATGACCAAAGAACATCGGAGACCAATGCATGTCCATATTGGTTAATGTGGAAACCGTCGACACTTTCAATTAACTGCCACGGCTCCCCGCCTTGTGCTATCCATTCTTGTATGACTTCATCAAATGGAAAATCAAGATAATCAATATCGTATTGAGCAGGTTGATATGTGAATGAAACATTTTTGATTGCTGCAGATAATTCAACAGCTCGTTGTGTAGTCAAATCACGAAGTGTACCATTTGATGTCATCCATCCATTGCAAGGTGAAATTTGTAAACAAGATAAATAATCATAGATTTGTGGATAACTCACTGGCGGACCAACACGACCAAATGGATGAATACGATCATGTAAGAGTGCATATAAGAAACTACCATTAGCTAAACCTGTTGTAAGTACATGACTACCTTTTGGTAAAACTGTATCAAGATATTGAAGTGTAGTTAGGACATTTTGTGTCATTTCTGCGACTGTTGTCATATGATCGATCGTATCCGGGTGACCATTGCAAACATCGTTACCAACCAGAGAATAGATAACAAGAAGCGGTACATCATTTTTTGGATGACGAGCTAATGCTTTCATGATATCCGTCATCGAACCACTACGAGCTCCATTAACAGCAATATTTTGATAATCACGATGATTACAATGATCGAGATCAAATAGGCGAGCGTACAATGACCGAGTTTGACCTTCAACAAAATTACGTTAATCCACTATATACATCTACGGAAATAATCTACCTTGAATATTTGGCCAGCTGACATTCAAATGGCCCGTACTAGCCGATAGTTGAGGCCAATCCAGTTCATTTTCAAGAATAAATGTTAAATGTTGAAATACAGCTGTAGACAATTGTTTAGCATCTAGCCATTGTTCGGGAAGATGAAAATGAGCCGATATAGAATCACCTAAGACTGCAATACCCAAACGTTGTGTATCATTACAAAACTCTGTTTCCCATGGTTGTCCAGTTGTTGAATCAAGGCCATAGATACCATTACAATTGTGATCAATAACACTATCACCATCAACACTCTGAGCACCGGGATAAACTTGTGATGAAAAATCATTACAATCTTTTCCACGCCATGAACTACCACGAAGGGTTGGTTCTGTACCAAATTTATCATTATCGAGATCAACTGCTGGTATATGATTATTGAAAGCATTGTTGAGAATTTTACAAATTTCTGCAATACCAGGAATTTGACAAATTTTTATTTTTGATAAATGTAAACTAAGATCTGGATGTCGTTCACGAAGTTTCAAAGCATTTTCAGCATCGGCTGCCGTAGATTTCGATGGATAAATACGACATTTTGCTTGGCCAGGATCATCTGAACAAAGTGTTAGACCATGACAAATAACATCAGGATTATCTCCTTTAATAAAACCGTCGATAATGATTGGGCCTAGAAACAAATAAACATTCAAGTCGTCTATTCTGTAAACACTTTTAATTTACCTAAAAAGTCAACAGCTGTTTTACAATAAATTTTATAATCATCTGGTAAAAATGAACAAAGATGCTCGAGTGCTTGAGCAGCACTTTCATTGTAGACGATGGCAAGATGATCAACAATACCCAAAAGTATCGTACAAGTTGCACAATTTGTACCACCATTGACACTGTTTATTCCATCCATGAAACGACATTCAATCGATGGTAGACTGATGATCAGCAATAAGCTAATACAGCCGATAGCTGCTTTCAACATTGTGATTATTTGTCTCTACTGAAAATAATCGTGTGAATCGCATACAAATATACACACACCCTAGACGAATATTGAATGCTGAGAAACGGAACACATGCCTTTTTTCGTTGTACGATAAGCTATTCGAAATAGCGACGATAATTTTCGGTATTTGATAGCAATCTTTCGCAAAACTAAAATGGAGAAGAGTTTCAAATGAGTAAATAATTTTATTATGTAATTCTATCGAATTGGAATGCACTAACTAATCATATAAAACACAAAAAAATAATAATGTTTCGCTCTAATTTTCTTAGTATCCACCTTGATCTTGAAAGACGCGTACAATATCGGCATTGTGTGGATTATTTGATGGTAACCATTGCGGTTTATTCGTTTGTATCCATGACCAAAATGCATCCGAAAGACCTGCATTACCATATTGATTCGTATGAAAACCATCGATACTTTCTAATAATTGCCACGCCTCACCACCTTGCGCTATCCAAGCTTGAAAAACTTGATCAAATGGAAAATCCATATAGCCAACATCAAAATTCTTCGGCGAATAAGCAAATGTTGCATTGCGTACTGCAACCGACAGTTGCATGGCTCGTTCCGTTGTGAACGCTCGTAATGTATCGTTTGATGTTAACCAACCGTTGCACGGTGAAATCTGTAAACAAGATAAATAATCATAAATCTCTCTGTATGTAAATGGTACACCGGCACGTCCAAACGGATGTATACGATCATGTAATAATTGATACAGAACACTTCCATTAGCTAGACCTGTTGTCAGTACATGACTACCTTTTGGTAAAACTGTATCGAGATAAGTTAATCCAGTGTAGATATTTTCGTACATTTCTTCAACAGTAGTCATATCAGCAGTAGTATTCGGGTGGCCATTGCAAACATCATTACCCACCAGAGAATAGATCACTAATAATGGTACATCTTTTTGTTGATTACGTCGTAATGATGTAGCTATTTTGATAATATCTTTACTGTCAGCTCCATTAACAGCAATATTTTGATAATCACGATGATTACAATGATCGAGTTCAAACAAACGAGCATACAATGATCGAGTTGGACCTAAATAAAATCCCATTAATTCACTCTATACATTTACAGGTATGACTTACCTTCAATATTCGGCCAACTAACATTTAAATGGCCGGTAACTGCTGATAATTGTGGCCAATCCAATTCATTTTCAATAATAAACATCGTATGTTCAAATGCTTCTGGTGAAAATTGTTTAGCATCTAACCATTGTTCGGGAATATGAAAATGAGCTGATATTGAATCACCTAAAACGGCAATACCCAAACGTTGTGTTTCATTACAGAATTCTTCTTCCCAGGGTCGTCCTGTTGCAGAATTTGTACCATAGATACCATTACAATTATGATCGGCAAGAGTATCACCATCGAAAACTCGAACACCTGGATGAATTTCTGATGAAAAATCATTACAATCTTTTCCACGCCATGAACTACCACGTAATGTTGGTTCCGTACCAAATTTATCATTATCAAGATCAACGGATGGTATATGATTACGAACAGCATTATCTATGATTTTACAAATTTCTTTAATACCAGGAACATCACAAATTTTCGAATCTGATACATGATTATCATGTAGTTGATGTTGTTGGCGAAGATTTAAAATATCTTGAGTTTCTGAAATTGAAGATTTCGATGGAAAAAGACGACATTTTGCTTGACCAGGCTCATCTTTGCAGAATTTCAATGCATGACAAATAACATCAGGACTGTCTCCTTTAGTAAAACCATCAATAATAATCGGACCTAAACATTTGATTTTAGTTTTTCTTCTATACATTGCAATTATCATAAGAGCTTACCCAAAAAATCAACAGCTGTTTTACAATAGACTCTCAAGTCAGTTGGCAAAGCATTACAAAGTCTTTCAAGTGAATCTATCGTAGTTTCATTATACACTAGAGATAACTTTCCAACAAGACCAACAATAATAGTGCACCAAGCACAATTTGAACCACCATCAACACTTTTTACACTTCGACCACTGGCAGTCGATAGTAGAACAGCGACTATTAAAAACGCCCATGCTACACCTAGTTTTACCATTTTCGCACTCAAACTCAAACAACTATCAGTAAAGGAATATTTAACATGCGTATTTTTTTTTGTTATAGAAGAATGAGAATACCAACATATGGATCGTTTTATTTTCTTCTAATTTTATGTCCTTATTTGATTTAATAATAAAAAAAGAACTGATATCACCTTGAGGAAAAAAACAGCTTTTTTTTTCTTAATCAACTGTCATCGTGATGATGCATTTATCGAAACATTGTTATAATATTATGAGAATTTTTTTATTCTTTCATAAAATAAAATATATGCCATAGAACTAAATACTTCAAGTTCATTACATTCTCGAATATGATCATCCGATATTGAAAACCATTCTTTACTATTGATCCGTCGTCGATAGACAATGAAATGTCCGGCTTCACTAATACCACCTAAATGTACAAGTACAGAATTAAGTCGATAAAGAGCTGCTGATGGCTTTATGGTTGTTTGAGTTGAATGAATATTAGCAGGCAATAGGCGTGATAGGGAAATAAATGCATTCATATCAAGATGATCTGGAAATGATACGTGAGAAGTATTTTTCGTTGGCCAACCTTCATTGGTCCATGTTGTACGAATAATATGTAAACAGAGAATTTCTGGTAGCTAAAAAATGAAATAATTAACTAATATTTTTCGTTCTGTCCAATATTTACTCTGGAAAAAGTTGTTATTTTTCGATGTGATAGATTTTCTTTTGATTTACATTTACTACATGTTAAATTCGAAATAATTTCAGATTTTAAATAATTTCCAATTAATTCTTGTAATGTAAAATTTCGTTGGTATCGAACTGAAAACAACTATTGACAAAGAGAATAAATATAAAAAGAAGAAAAACGAAAATTAATACCCCTGGATTTGATATTTGTCGTTCAGGAATCATTAATGAAAGTGTTTCAAAAAGAGAAACACTAATTGGATTCTAAATAGTGTAACACAAAAATAAAATCAATTAACAATGAACTTGAAAATCGATTTACTTTATTTTTACATTGTGTGCATTGTAATTGTGTTGCTTGTAAACCTTGAAATGGATGAGGTTTTATTAATGGACTTTCACTAGGCATCATGGAATTTTCCATGTCTTGTTCATCGGAATCAAGACATGCAGCAAAACCAAACCGCCTTGATTCAATTGGTTGTCTAGCTGTTAATGAATTAATAAGTGACAGAAGAAATTCATGGCTATCTTGTTGCTCGAATGGACTTAACCATTTTGGTTGTCGCATACGATCAATTAATGTAGCGACAGTTGATTCTTGCGAATAAGATATTGACTCACCATTGATGGATTTAATAAGATCAAGAAGAATTTTAGCAACAATATTATTTTGTAGATGTTCTTCAACCCATCGAACAAATATGGACGACGATGCTAAACACTGAACAATAGCATTGGCAAAACAATTATTTCCATAATTAACTAATCCACCGGGATAACCTAATCAAATTTAAAACAGAAAAAAAATTCTTGCTTTTTGAACAATATAGGCAACGAACCACGTCGTCGTCGATCTTGTAGATCAGGCCCGAATAGAACATAAGCACCAACGGCTGTTAAAATACTAAGACTAATTACAATGGGTGATGAAAAAGAAATCGGTAAGGTTAGCATTGTTCAGAACAACTCAATAGAGTCGATAAAAAAATTATACATCCAACGAATGATATGATTCAGTCTACTATATTATATGATGAATACCTATGACAACCAATTACTACAGATGTCAGTGTTAACAACAATTCAGTTGAATAGTAAGAAATAATAACTAGAATTTATTCACATTCTATTGCCGTCGATAAATGTCTACAAATTTTAATTAGAATTTACTGATTTTTGTTACGTATGAGTAATATCAATAAATTTGAAGTTCTCAGCAACCCTTGGAGTCAATGATTACGAAATCGCACAGAAGAAACTTTTTCAATCAGACGATGGTGAGTGTTCGAAGTATTATGCAGAGAAAAAAGATTAAATCTTCAATTCAGTATTGTGGACGGCACACGTCGTTTTTCGCTCTAGAAGCAGTAGAAGAATAAAACAACACGTCGGTTAACACATTTCTCAGTCAAAAGGAAAAAATGTCGAATACTATTATAAACACCATCTGCATATTTGAAAAGCGTTCAATTCAGACAGTTCAAGAATAGATTCATGTGAAATGCAAAAATAATTCTTTGCACTCATTATTTCACATTCAATTAACTTTGTAATAAACTATTCTCGCAAAAGAAAAAGCAACACATGACCACATTAGAAGATTGAAAAAGAACGTACGAGCACAGATAACTTTTCTCAACGATTATAGTAGACATGCATTAATGTTAAAAAAAATTACTCGCTGAGATCATTTATACTTTGACAGATATTCCGTAATGGAATTTATCTAATCATCGATTTTGATTCAGTTACTCGGTCAAGATTAGTACAGTTTTTTTATTTGTCGATGAGTAATCGAATTGCTATTCGAATGTGAGCTATTAATCAGATAATACAATGTTTCTGATTTTTTGTGCATGACATTTTCTATGATGATGTCGATAGTACTTCATCTTGCTTGGCGAGGGTTGCTTGCTTTACCTTAATTTACTTTCCTGTCGATGACTCAGCCGATGAAAATATGCCGTTTTCTTCATGGACAACAAACAACTTGCTGTAGCTAGCGTACAAAAGAAAGACGAAAGAGAAAGCATTTCTCTCTCGCTCTTGCGCCTATATTCTACTCTATTTAAATCCATTAATAGGCAAAACTCAAGGGGAAAAGTATGAGGGACATTGAGGGTGTCTAACAATCGCACAACAACGATATAGATATCCATCTGGATTTCGCCGTAACTTCAAGCGTTCAGTACGTGACGATTGAATTTTCAAAATTGCTTACATAATACCGACCTACATCAACAATCACCATGCTATCTAATAATCTACATTGGAATCAACTATCATCGATGGGATTCGATGATTTATTTTCATTATCCAATGATTTCAATCCTCAAAGTGACTCCGATGAATATTCGATGTTATTTGACGATCTTATGAAAAAAGAAATATTTTCGCCGCCAGAGGTAAACAAGTTAACCATTTACGAACTATTTTTATCTCATCTTGACCATTTTTTCTCGCTAGACTGATCCATATCAACTTCAAAAAGTATTGCCTGACGACTCGGCACAGGAATCTCAAGTACCAACTTTAGAATGTGGTGTCTGTGGGGCTCCTGCATTCGGTTACAATTTCGACCAAATCACTTGTGAATCCTGCAAAGCATTTTTTCGTCGCAACGCATTTCGTGATATGGTAATAAACACTGACTAGTTCAAATCGAGATCACCTACTTTGTGTCTTTGAGGACTCTGCTGTAATCATCAGATTATTTATTTACTGAATTATGAAATATTCTCATGAGAGAGATGAAGGTGATTTGTGTTGCTTGCGTAGAAAGAAGAACACGTTCGATTTTTATCGTTTCTGACTACGTTCGATACTTTATAGATTTGACCTCACACAGTATTCATAAATATACTTCATCGAATAATTTGAGTGTTATTACGACTTCGTTTAAAAAACACGATTCTTTCGATGAGACATGAATGCTTTCTAATTGAGAGAAGAAGAAAAAATGAAAACTGTTTCCATTCTAAAATTTCTTTTTTAGTCTCAACTAAGATGTCGATTATCTGGCTCCTGTGTAATTAATATCGAGACACGTCGTCAATGTACATATTGTCGACTGAAAAAATGTTTTGATATTAAAATGCGTAAGGATTGGATTCGAACTGACGAAGAAAAACGAATACGACAATTACAAAAATTAGCAAAAGAACAAAAGAAATCACATCATCCATTCAACGGCCAACTTGATACTCTCAGTCTTGCAACAGTTTCACGGAGGAAAAAACGGTTGATGACGAATTCGACAGGCCAATACGTTTTTACGGATTCAGTGAACACAAATAGTTGAATATTGTTACATAATGTAAATAATTTGTATAGATTGGTAATTGAAACTTTTGATTGTTCTCATGCTAAAAAATACACATCAGTCGTATATTTTTCACTGTTTATTGTGCTGATGAAAGTGTAATACATGACATATTAATATTTTTTTTTTGAAATCTTATCTTCTTATGCGTCATTTAATTTATTTTATTCGACGTAAAAGTTGAACAGTGGTACAGAATGTTTGTGATGTTACACCGTCGACATCGCTCGATTGATGTAGCGCTGGATGCAGTCAGACATCGGACAGTTATTTGTCTCATTCTATTTTCAATAATCTAATCATTTTTTATCAGTTGGTGTACTGTGCCAAAGAATTAAGCCCTAACTTATTTTCTTCTTGCTCTGAAATCTGCATATTATTTATAGAAACAAAAGCAATTATGAAAATGCACCGTTAGTTTTCATCAGTTTATTTTTATATTTGTCCAGATTACTCATCAAGACTCATAAAAATTGACGATGACTGTACGTCCTTTGACTTTCACGCAGGGACTTAATGATTGAATATCGTATTTTTTTACACATCGAATATGTCATTCTACGATGGTGCAGTAGAGAAAAGAACGTACTTGCCGTTTGTTTGAGTGCAAAACTACCTCATCAACTAGCTAGAGTTCACTTCTATTGTGCATTAATGACGTGATGTGAGATAGGCATTCTTCAATTCTCTAAATAATAGTTTTTAGAGTGGCTGCTAATTTTGCAATGGCACTTCCTATTATGAAAATAATGAGTTTCATTTCGAATTCCTTAATATAACTATCTCCGCAGGTGAATAATTAACGTTTTTTTTCTTACCATAGTTTGACGACAACACCTATCCACTCAAGAAAATGCAATACTGCATATATTTTGTTTCGAACAAGTTCTCTAGGCGTTATTAATTATAAAAGAGTTCCCTTGAAAAACTTGCTCTACAACAGTATGGAATTTTTGTAACATATAGTTACTTTTACAAATTTCAAAATAAATACAAAGCCATATTTATTAATCAAGGTAAAACATAAAAGTTCACATCTATTCAGTACATTTTACCTCGTCCAAGTAGTAGAACAACAAACAACGAGAGAAAAAAAGAAATTATTGTTTTCGCTTTATGTCAAACTCTAATAGAGTATATATTATGCAAGGAAAAAAATGCGAATAATGAAAGCTACGAATACTTTTGATCAACATAAGATATCTCATTTATTTTAACATAAAGCATCCTAGGTTGTTGGTCCCGTATCAATCCAGAGGAAAAAAACGTGACTTGAAAAAGGATTATATTCTTTTAGGGATTAATATCAAGATATTTTTAATTTTTCGATATTTAAATCAATCGTATAGAAAGATGCAAGCGTAATCAAAAATTGTTTCACTACAAATCATATTTGCCTATTTTTCGATAAGCATAATAATGACGACTACTGCTATCGAGAGAAATGAATATTGGAATAATGTTCTATACGATCAATCATTTGATTTCGATGGTATCTTTTTCTTCGGCTCTTAATTTTATTCCATATGATGAATTCAATAATAATTTTATATTAGAGAAAAAAGAAAACAAAGTAAATATTTAAAGAATCATATAAATTTAGCATTTTCTCTATTTTCTGTAGGCTAAGCAAAAAGCTTCCGAAATACCGCCAAACAACTATTCAACACAAGAATCTCAAATGCAACATTCGAAGCGTGATGTTTGCGGGGCTCCAGCTTTGAATTATAATTTTAATCAAATCACTTGTGAATCATGTAAAGCATTTTTTTTTCGTCGAAATACATTACGACACATGATAGGTTTCTATTAACTAAAATTTACTCATCGAATGTTCTGATTCAATCTGCATAACGAATTGCAAGAAACTAACTGTAATTTTTCTTCATTTTAGTCTGATTTAAAATGTCGTTTCTCTGGTAGATGTGTAATTAATATCGAGACACGTCGTCGATGTACATATTGTCGAGTGAAGAAATGTTTCGATATTAAAATGCGTAAGGATCGGATTCGAACTGACGAAGAAAAACGAATACGACAATTAAAAAAATTAGCAAAAGAACAAAAAAACTACATCAACTATCAGTAAACCAACAGTTCCTTCTCAGTCGTGCAACAGTCTCACGAACCTAAAATCGTTCAATAGTAAAATCAATGAATCGAGAATATATCATTGAATAAAAATCCATAATTTTATTGTTTAGATCTATTCACAAAAAGTTTTTGGTCATCATCGTAATCTATCAAGTGAACATCGGATGTTATTTAATAATATCATAAATGCTTATCAGTTAGGAGAAAATTATGTCAATGGTTTGAGTATCAATAATTGTATATCAACTGTATCTCTAGTGCAATATCTTAATGAGCAAAATACGATGCATGAATCATTAATTTATTTTTATAAATCTATACCTGAATTTAAACAATTACGTGTCGATGATCAAATGGTATTAATTAAATGTAATCTTATCAAAATTATTCATTTACATTATATTCTTATAGAAAAATTTCAAGAAAATCCATCTATTGGTTTGTATATGTCGAAATGGATAAGTGAAGATTTTCATTATGGATTCTCTCGAGCACGTCGACATTTCGATTGTTTTAAAGAACATTCATTGATTTAAAAACTTGCACTTATTGTTCTTTTATTCAACATTAATTTATCTGTAGTATGTGGTAGTACTCAATTTAATGATTATATCGAAAAACTGAATGTATGTAAAATACAAGAATTTTATACCGAAACACTTTGGCGTTATTTAAATTATTTATTCGAAGTTTTGTTATATTTTATTTTGAATATATTTTGCTTTGAAATAAAATGATCATTGGTTGAGAAATTGATTGATTTCTAGGAAGACTTTTGCCTAGCTCTTACGTGTTGATCACTTTGTTAAATTGTGTAAGTTATATATGCTTGTCTATTTCATGCTAAATCTGCCGTATAAACCACGTCAATATGATCTTAATAACTACAGTATAGGCAAGGAGTCACGAAAAAATACCGAAGTTACAAATACTCAGAGAAAAAATTAAACTTTTAGTGATATTTGTGATACTACTGTTGATTTCAAAATATGATATGCTTCGATAGTTTTTCGCATATTCAAGAACGTTAGCAGCTAGAGACTCGCAATTTTCATCCATCGATAGAGGACGCCACGGGGACAAGTTTAAAAGGAATAACCTAGAGCTGATCTCTCTTTTAGGTACTGAAGTTTTTGAACATTTGGCAAAGTTGACTATACAAATATGTCACTCCAACGGCTTTTAAAAAACGTTTTGTCGCGTGTAGTTTGAGTAATCAAACACGATAGATTGCACAGTAATTGTTATTTTGTGCGAAAGACACTAGCACACAGAATGATTTATAGAATTGTTTATGAAATCTCCCAGGATTTTGGAATACGGCTTACACTTCTAGCCCCTTCGACTAGGTTTCAAACTGAATCGACTCATGTATTTGATGTGTATCGGTGTATTATAGTCAGTAGCACATAGCAATACTTCATACAGCAGTAAAATTATAGTGAAGAAGTCATATTCTCCTTTGTTTTCGCAAACTCACAGGAGACGATAATCACACAATAGCTGTTCTATCAATCGACCGATCTATAGAATAGAGAGAGAGAGAGAGAGAGAGAGAGAAGTTTTTCTAGCTGTCTCTAGCAAGTATTCACTGTAAGACACGTGAACAGCTGTTTAAATATTAAAATAGGTCGAAAGCCAATAGAATTTTCTGAAGACACTGTATGGGTGCGCGATATGGATGTAGCTCTGACTCACATTCAGAATCAAATAGCCAAAAGCAAGAAACGCTCGTATTTACAGCCACGCTGTGTATATAGTAAAAAAAACGTTCTGTATCTAATCTAAAATGTTTTATATCCTTTTTTAAGGACTTCTGAACACTGTCTTAGTGGAAATCAGCATCCTATATATTTCCTGTACAGTTGAAGAGTATCACTGTTTTATTGATAGTGCCTTAAAATTCCAATATATTTCTATTCTTTCAAAAGATACCCGCTGCAAAGCCAGGTCTTTTTGTTACTCTTCGATTACAGTTGTATAAGCAGCATATGCTAATTTCTCTTGAGTACAAGAGAAGAGTCAGCGAATGTGTAGATCCAAGAACATTTTCTCAGGCAGCATTCGTTTTGATAAGACGTAAATAACCTTGATAAAAAAATGATGCCAAATAAACTAAAAAAAGAGATAAACTGAAAGTATTTTTGTGCTGATGATAAGCTTTGAATCAAAATGTAAAAGTACCTCTAACAGATGCATCTGAATGTTTCCACGCATTGATAAGACATAGAGAAAAATATGTATCTTTTTTGTTAAACGAGAGATAATGTAACAGTCGACAATGAAATCCACGTGAAATAATCTGCGTATTTTCGAATGAAATACAAACAATGCTGTGGCAATTGAATGTTTTCTTGATTGGTAAAATTTTAAATAATAAAACCAGTCAACATATTTCGAGATATTTTCATTCAGTGTATAGTTGTGTAATCATAATTTCGACAACCGCACAATATCTAATGATTGTTTTACCAGTACTTTGTTAATTGTTTTCTCTCTTGGCGACAACGGCAATTCTGCACCAAATCAGTGTGAAGCTAGCACGACGGAGCTAGCACGATGAAACAGAGATTCAACTATAAGTCTTCTCAGAAGTATTGCCGGCCCATAAAAACCAGAGCATTCGACGCAGAATTTAATTCTGGATCGGATGGTGATACTTTTATCCCCCGGCAATACTTAGGAAGAAATTTTACCTACACCTTTGTTTTTTTCTAAATAGGACAAGAAAAACTGGATAGAATTTTCTCAAAGTATTGCCGGGGAATAACAGTATCACCATCCGATCCAGAATTAAATTCTGCGCCGAATGCTCTGGGTTTTATGGGCCGGCAATACTTCTGAGAAGACTTATAGTTGAATCTCTGTTTCATCGTGCTAGCTCCGTCGTGCTAGCTTCACACTGATCTGCAACCAATTTCTCCTTTATCCGATGTAGCATCAATTAGTGAGATAAATTCTAGTTGACTTAAGCTTTTAATTTCTTTGAAGCATGTCCCCTTTTTTTCTCTCAAGCTGAACCAACAGCAAATGGTAAATTGTCTAAACTACCCTACAAAGTTTCACCCTACACTTGAGACATATATTTTTGTGACAAAGATTATTGTTAGACAACAACAAATGTCAACAGCATATATGCGCTTCAGGTGATTGTAGAGTATACGTATTGAAAATATTGATTACCAAATGTATTTTGAATCTGTAAATATACAATTATTTTAGGTCAATTTGGACATGTACAACTGACCAATACGAATGTCTACCCGTTTGCTCTTAAAACTGCAACGAGTGCAATCAATAGAATAAATAAACAATGAATGACTTATTATTATTACATATCAACAAGAACTGATATTCAAATGAGTATAACATTACGCAAAGTAGAAACTGATAATACCACCACTGAAATCATCGATCATATTACAAATAGTTCAGTCCATAGATGGACACAACGAAAAATTAATTTTCAAGCGATAAAATCAGGATATATGGTGAGCCTTTCTGTTTAGGCGTATCTTGAATTTGAAATGTTAAAAATAATGCTTGTTTTATTCTAGAGTTATTTTGATTTTCAGAGAGCCAGTGCTATAGTACCTTTGTTTGGAATTGATGTAATTACAATTTGTCAAGGTCGATGTAGTAGGTTAACTTGTCATTTTAACAATTTCTATGGAACGAATCTGTAACTCAAAGTACAACAAATGGAGTATCAACATCAACTGTTCCAATAAGAACTACGTAATGTTAAAGGCTTCTTTTTATTATTATCATGTACATGTTCTGGCTTATTACTATGCGACAGTGAATCAGAAACAACAATGACGTTAGCAATGGAATCATCTACAGTAACAATTTTGTACCTTTCTACAACTATGACAATTTAGAGAATTTCCATCTTTCAGATAACTACGGATAAGTCGAAAATCATCAGTGATGAAACCACTACATTGGTAAGTGCGAAAGTCTGTAGATATATTGCACAAAAAAGTAATACGAGTATCACTTTTGTTTCTTCGATTGATTCAATTTAATATTATCTTTAGATTCATCATCGATACTAAATGAAAATTCATTGTTTTTTGAAGGTGATTTCTTCGACAACCATGGATACAGATAAAATTACCAGCAGATTAAAATGTAAAAATTCTACGTTGTCATTATTTGAACATTGATTTTGTGTTCTAATCGGAGACGTGCACAGGACAAGATTTTTTGTCCTGTCATTACCTGTCCTGCTGGCTACTTTGGTCCTGGTGGGCGTCAGGACAGGACAAAAATCGAAATCTTATCCTGTCCTGTTTTGTCCTGTTGGTAATCTTCGTCCTGGCGGGCGGTAGGACAGGGCAAAAATCGAAATCTCATCTTGTCCTGCTGACTTTTTGTGTCCTGGCGGGCGACAGGACAATACGTTAAAGCCGTATCCCGGTTAGTGTTACTCATTTCTTCCGGTTTTGCTAGTGACTGAAGACTAATTATGAGTCCGAACACTAGCTATTGTTGATCAAAATAAACATTACTATTAGTAATTTTAGAAATAATCTATTTGATATCATTTTCAAATCAGAGACGTGCACAGAACAAGATTTTTTTGTCCTGTTCTTACCTGTCCTGTTTTGTCCTGTTGGTAATCTTCGTCCTGGCGGGCGGAAGGACAGGGGAAAAATCGAAATCTCATCCTGTCCTCCAGGACAGCAGGACCGCCCTGTCCTGTGCACGTCTCTGGTTCTAATTTGTGTCGAACAGTATGTCTACAATGGCGACCACTCAGATGGCACCAACCATGGTAATATATATATTTTACATGAGCTATCAGAAATAGCAATCCAAGTCTTTGTTAGGAGTAGTTTCGTCTCACTTATGTCTTTCTACTTCTCAATAATTATCCTACCAGACAGAAAACTTCGGTAAATACGTACAGTTTTTCGACCAAATTGAGTTTGATTCAATTCTTAGAAACACTAACAGCAACAGCTCTGTTGGGTTTATTTCTATAAACTATTTAATAAAATTATTTTTGTTTCAATGACAAAAACATAACCAGCGTTTATAAAAGCTTAGCTGCAAAGTAAAACTTCTCGTCCAACACTATTTCGATGCGTTTTCTTGATTTAACTTAGTACTAAAAAAAATATTAAACAAGAAACATGTCTTATGTTGTCAGACTAATTTATGGAGAGTTGAACAGTAAAATCACGTAATATGAAGCTCTTCTAAAAAAGAAATCGATTCTTGCCTAATTCGTTGTAGTATTTGAATATTTGTTGTCTTCAATTTTTTTCGCAAGACTGTCTTCTTCCTCTAGTGTTGATTAAAAATATTTTAAGCGCTTTTTGAGTAGCTAATAGTCTGAGCGAACATTCGTTTTCTACAGGAAACTAGACAAGCGTCTCAAAAAACTTTCTGCCTATTCTTGAAAAATTCTGTGTGATTCACGATATTAAACAAAGTTGAAAACATAGCAAGTGCATAGTTATTATTTTCTAATTCAATATTTCGGTTAACATCGTGTTGGTGATCTTGAATCAGAGTGAATTTTTGAAAACTATTCATCGGTATTTTCTCATTCTCTTTCTTAGCATGTTCTTCAAAACTTTCCTTTAACAGGCTTCGCCTCTTTTGCTTTTTTTTCTCGTGCTAATTCACGTGCTCTGTTGTATTTTATTATTAAGTTTTTTGTTCTAGTCGCTCTATACAGCAAGTACAACTATACTTCTAACTACAGTCATGTCTACAGTTATCACCCAAAACATCGCATCCATCACTGCGAATAAGATAGTGGACACGCCGCCAACGCAAAAGCCAAGCTCTTCAATTCCAACATCAACGAAGGCAATCACACCTAAAGTTCCATCCAATCCGGCACTAACCAACATTCCAATCGAAATATCTACTACTGCAAAAATAACTAGTACTCAATTGAATCCAACTAGCAAATCTACATCGAGAACGACACTGACAACATCGGATTCGTTTGGCGATAAAGAAATTAATAATAATCCATTTGATAAAACATTCGTTATTGTCTTATCAACTGCAATACCTGCTGTATTAATTGCCATTGTTGTGACTGGTATTTTAGTTAAGAAAAGAACAGCTAGAAGTGTACCTAGTGATGTTTCGCAACCATCAACTCATAAAGATAATCGAAAGAAAATGTTTATTGAACTCGAAGAATTATCACAAAGTGGAGTTTTCTAGATATTCTAATTTCTATCGTATATAACACATATATATTTGTGTTTGCGTATTGTTTTATTTAAAAAAGACATTGACACCATTACAACATTAAAAGATCACATTAATTACTACGGTAAAACAAATGTTTGTTTAAAGGTATCAAAATATTTTTTAATTTAAATCAACTCTATATTTAATATAGTCTCAAAATTTCTAACGTTAATTATTGCTATCATTTTAAATGAATTCTCATCAATAACAAGAATTTCTACCGAATATGAAATCTGCTTGTTCCTGCTATTAAAATACTTCCAGGTAAAATCCAAGCTGAGTTCGCATATGACACAATTCCTTCGAAAGATCTGATTAGTAGTACACAAACCATCGGAGCTGTTAAAATTACATTCGTAATAAAAACCAACAACTGTGAAACTTAGAGGTGCAATCTAAAATTTCTGTTATATCGTGCAGGCAACATCTTTGACTGTCTCGGACAGTTTTCAAAATATCCTAAGGTTAATAATATTACCGTTTTCAATCGAAGAATTTTGTATGAAAAACAAAAGTTGTTAAATTGTCTTTTGACACGCATGTCCTATAGTTTTTAAAATGATTGTAAGTTTGAAATTCATATATTTTGACTGATTGACAAATTTTAGGGAAAGAATGTTAAATCTACTGGCATTGAACTAGACAATATAGTTACAACAATGGCTGTACTAAAAGTTATAATAAATATGACTTGAAGAAATAGCACACTAAGTACATTAGCAAGAATTCAGTTATCGAATTGCTGCACTAATTGCAACTATTGTATAGATCGAAGCTTTTTTCTTCATACAGAAAAATGTTCCTATTTGAATTTTGTCAACTTAATCATCGCGAGCCTAATCATTATCAAATGCAACCAATAATTCATCAGCATTGTTTCTTTGATTCGCGCGTTGTGCATATTTGTCTAGAAATATGTCATTCACTTTCATCGAAAGAATTTCCTTCGTCGTGCCCACAAAGAAACTGTGAGCAAAAGTAATGATCATCATATTAGACAGAAATGAATTGATACTGATGTATTCTTATGTAGTTTTATAAGGCATGCATTTAATGTAATATCTAAAAATATAGCAATCCATATCTAAATTATATCAATATTGCCTAACTTAATACAGTAGTAACTATTCTGGCGAAAGGATACCTTTAAAAAACTTGTTTAATCTAATTTTGTAATTAAACATCTTTTAAATCAATCAAATATCTGAATTAAAAAATGTTCTGTCCTTTAATTCAATATATTATCAGTTTTAACAATTGACTATCAATGAATTTATCGACTTATCTAATTAATTTGAACTGAACCTATAATTAATAAGTACTTATCAATTAATTGAAAGACTATATACGGGCTGGGAATGACGATAAGTGACAAGAAAAAAGTTACTTTAAAAAATATCTTGGGTGGGGTGTGTGTGTAAAGAGAGATAAGAACGTTCACACCCTAGTCTGGTCAATAGTGACAATTTTTTCGATAACTCAGTCATTTCTTGACGGATCCTTTTCATCTTCGAACTCGACTGAAATATTGATGAGATCATTTTGTGTACAAAATTTCAAGACAATTGGATGAGGCTTTCAAGAGTTATCGTGTTAACGGCCGGAGACACTGACTGAATCTAGAGTGTACTCACTTTTTGAGTACACAAAAAAAGACTTAATGGTCGTCTGTTACAAATGAAATAAAATCATTGTTTATACTTTCACGGGAGATGCTTCTCCCTCATTATCTACTTGTAAGAAAATCCATATATTTAATCTTAAATAAATGAACAAATTTATCATAGAAAAGTTGAAGACTTCAGATAACATCCCAAAGATTATCTATAGCAAATGCTCATTCTATGAATCATGATCATTTCTATCAATAATATACAGTAAATGAAGTTTTTTCTTGGTAGATAATATTTATTGTAGATAATAACGGGAATAAATGCTAGTACCAAGCCAAAATCAAGCAGTATTTTAGCTAAAATGATGGAAAAAAGGTCTTCTTATCTACTATCTTATTTTCAAAACTGGTATTATTCAGAAAGACGGAAGTAATCGAAGAGTCGTTGGAGAAACAAACTTTAAAAAAGAATCAAATTACTATTAAGTTGGTTGTTGTCTTCGTCACAAACACAATTTGAAACATTTTCTTGGAAGTAAAACTTTTTCCGGGAAAAAGAACTTGTCTGATGCGCTTATGACGTGGGTAATTTAAAATGAGTGCGCCATTAGTGGAGAAGTCGTATATAACTGTGGCTTTCATCTCTAATATTATAAAATATTCTTTCATTTCTTTGGCAAAACTGTAGACAGTAATTTATTTAAGTTCTAGTCATTCGGAATATAGAATAGTGTTACTTCCGCATAGACGTGGTAGTGATAGTAACCGTTTTTTTTTATATTCATTCTTAATTAATCATTTTCAAGGAGATTTCTTTTTTTATCCATTGTTATAAATAGTAGACAGGCGCTGTTTCTTGTTCTTTTTCTTTTAATCGAGAAAGCTCACTTCCTGCCACCAATGAATAAGAAACAATATTTCTGTATAGTTGAGTAACGCGCTATACTCTATTTTTCTAGATCTACTAGATATGAAAATATTTTTCCACGGTAAAATTAGAATTAAGTTCAAGATATTTTTTTACAGGTTCTTCCATAAAATATGTTATATAGTTTTTTTTTAAAAGACCTTATAAATGATTGAAAGGGACATGAAGTTCGTTTTATTTTATTCCATGAGAAATTCCTATAGGGAGCAACCTAACAGTCTCTATACTAGTAAGATACATCATTGGTGAATGATTTGCCGCTTATTGAAAGTTGATGAGCTTCGAACGAGATGAGTCAGTCTAAGAATTTATACAATCTTCGTCTGCAAATTTTTGATTATTCGAAATAGGTTATCCTTGAGTATGATGTATCGATACTAATTATGTGCTAAAGGTTCAAGTCAAAATCAACTACTGATTAGTATTGAAAATCCAAAGATGTCTTCCAATCGTTCATTCTAACGTTACTCACTTTTGCAAGCTCTACCCAATCAAATTAGTTGATTTCTTTGAACATTGCGAAAAAGTTGCGAAATTCATTGGCATAAATATTTGACAAAGCAATGAGTTATGAACGTTAGAAAGTATCATCCGTTTACGTCACGATTCTGATAATCTAGATTAGAAATCTTGAGACTAGCTTTCCTTCATTTCACTGTTTTGACTAAATCCGATAAGGCTGTACAGAAAAAAAGATGTTGGCAAATACAGGTATGTTTTTCAATTGGACACGCACATCCTTAAGAACCCAGTTCTTTTGTTTCTTCGAATGAGATTGAGTATTGATTGTCGTAAACACATATGTTATTGTATGTCTGTCTTAGATATTCGAACTATTTCGAGATCAACTTAGCTATCAAGATGACAAAACCTACCAGAGAGTTAATAAAAATCGTCGAAAAAAGAGCAGGTGAACAAAATGCTTGGTTGGAAGCTGAGCAGTTTATTCGACAAGGTGCAAATATCAAAGCTTCGACCAATCAAGGTTCGATGATACAAGCTGCAATTGCGCAAGAAAAGCGTCAACGTCTAATATTGCCATGGAAAGCAGATAACTGTCTGCGTTTGATTGAAGTACTAAGACGCAGTTCTTCGGATCTACTCGCAGCACAAATACTCTCGGATAATGGTGGCGACGTGAACGAGATGCATCAGCTAGTTCAGTTACAGGCTAGTTGTTATCAAACAGAAAAATATGGGCCATTGGGCTTATTAGGTGAACTTTTGAAGCAAGATAAAGTATCTGTTAGACTTGATGTAGTTCAACTTATTGTCAAAGGTGATCCATACGCTAAACATGGCTTGACAGCGATCGATGCCCAGCAGCAAACTTGTTTATCGTTAGCGAAAAACAATCGAAAATGCTCGAAAGATGTCGTGGAATATTTGCAAAGAGAGTTTGATATGATTCTCAACCAAGTTCCTTTCGAATCAGCAAATATTAACCTGGATGAAGTAAGCGAATGGATCACTAGGGGTGCCAATACTGAAATAGTCGATGACAAACGAAATACTGTTCTTTCCAATGCTGTTCTTGCCAATAACGTAGAGCTCGTTCGTGTTCTCGGGTTTGCTGGTTGTAACACGGCACATACCAATGCTGACAATCTGACACCGTTAGAAATTGCAAAGAAGGCTACACCAAGAAATCTTCCGTTAATTAAAGTTCTAGAAGCACAAATAAAAAATGCTGAACTTCAATCTCTGATCAAAACCAAAAAATCGCAATTGACCATTGAAGAAGTGAATAGTGCACTGAAAAATGGAGCAAACATCAATGAACCTATTGCCAATAAAAATACTTTTCTTCATTTACTAATCACCTGTGAAGGTACAGCAGAAATGGTGACTACGTTCGTGAAAGATTTCCATGCTGATCTAACAACAACAAATAGGGACGGATATCGACCCATTGAAATGTGTATTGTACAAGACAAAGAACCGTTTACGGTGCTTAGTGCCTTTTTTCAACTATCAAAAGCGGAACACGATGTATTCTTCAATTCGAAACTGAACAAAACATTACTTCAATTTGCGCTTGAACGGAAAAATTCTGGAGCAGTAAAAATCATCCAAGACGAACTCAATCTGCGTTTGTGGGATTCTATGGCACGTGCTAATACCAAAGAGGAGCAGAATGCACTCGTCATAACTGAAGCAAATCAGCTAATCGGTTATGGTGCTCAAGTTAATCGCAAACATATCGATAAAGATTTTCAAGAATGGACTGTACTTCATTTCGCATGTAAAAAAACTACAAAACAGTTTGTGAAATATATAATCAAAGATTTGAAAGCTGACTATGAAATGAAAAACGGAAATGATGATTACCCAATATCTATAGCTGCCGAATACGGTCAGTTATCAATTGTTCAATATTTACACCGTTCCTTAGATTCAAACTTGAATGTGTGCAACAAAAATAAGCAGACACCCTTACATTTAGCAACAAAGAATCATCAACTACTTGTTGTGAGATATCTTGTTAGATGGGGTGTCGATCATCAGGCTCAAGACGCGTCAAAACAAACAGCACTCAATATCGCTCGAACAAATGTTTCTAAAAATAAAGAAGAAGAGAGCAATGACCAGAAACTTGTTCATTTTCTTGAACAACTTATTTGTCCTCCGTTGGATAAGAAAGATACTCAACAATCGAGAATCTCGAAACCTAATCTTAATTTGGATACGTGTGAGATTGTGACATCAGTCACGATCAATCCAATTCAAATGATTCATGACGCTGAAGAAGAAGCATTGGGGAACAAAAGTGTAGGTTTTCTAGCTGGGAATCCCAATGGCAATCTATACAACGCTGCGAAGCAAGGTAATATCTACGAAGTTAATAGAGCTATTTCTCAAGGTGCAGATATTCGCTATCGAAAAGGTCAGTACTCGTTATATGAAATTGCAAAAAAAGCAATGTTCGATTTTCAAAATTAATTGAAATCAACTGTACCGAACTCTGAGGACTATATCCGTTACTACAATCAATCAATTAGCTGCTAGCAGATTATTGACATTTTTCGACAGATAGCACGTACTAAAATAATTGAATCTTTCAATCAGTCGAATGCAGGCCGTGTCGTATCATATCATGTGGTCGGAGCCCAACTGACTGCTGATCTATTAAATATAGCTTGTTATGCATCTGATAATGTCGAAATAGTCGATTATCTCATGAATAACAGCAACGATATTTATCAAGCTATGTTCAATTATCCGTTATCTGACTCACCATATCGAATTGCAAAAACAAAGAAATTTAATAAAGTGGCTAGTTACCTAAAATATCGATTGTCGATGGAATGTGTTCAAGCTATTAGAAAAAATAATACTGTGCTTGTCAAAAAGTTACTAATTGCTGGGGCTAGTCCTGATATGCATGATACTGATAGTATAAGTGAAGCATTGAAGCATCAAAATTTGGAATTGATTCAAATCCTCTGTGAAAGTGGAGCGAAAATGCCTGATGAATGGCTTAAAACAGAAACAATTACACTTTCACTAGCTAATTCTCAACAAATGAAACCTGATATCGCGTATCGAATCAATCATTGTCTAATCGATAGACGGCTCCGGTTTGCAGCAGCCAATGGTGATCTTGCGGGCGTAATGAAATGTCAACATCTTGGTGCTGACATAAATTCCAAAAATTGTTATGGTTCAACTGCACTCTTATATGCCATTAAATATGGAAATTATTTTTCGATAGTTCATTCGTTAGTTTCTCGTGGTGGATCAATGTTACATGAGAATGAGGATGAGCCGATGTCATTGATTGATCTTGCAAAACAGCAACAGTTTGAACAGATTGCTGATTATCTGTCCAAAGAATTAAACATACAATTTCTGACGACGATTCTTAATAATGATCGCGATGGTGCAGACAAATTTGCAAAATTGGGAGCCAATGTTAACTATCAAGATGAACAAGGACGTATGGCATTACATTATGCTGTACAATATCATGGTATCGAACTGGTTAAGTGGTTATGTGAGTATAATTGCAGTCCGAACCTCGCTGATATCTATGGTGACTATCCAATTATTCAAGCAACCATGAAAGGTATATTTATTACTTCTCTTAGAAAAAACAAGAGTAGAGAGATAGTGAACTAGAATCTTATTTTTTCAATCATCAATGATGAGAGTCCAAATAAGAGTTTTGTTTTTATTCGTGATGATGCAGGGGAAGATCTTGGAAATATCGATACTGAATATCAACTTCAATTATCTTATTTAAATGTCTTAAATAGCATCATATATCTACCAACTGGAGAGAGCATAGATCAAAATATGTTAAAATGTATTTCCGATTGCGAGACAATCCTAAAATCTAGAATTTGTTTTCATAAATTTAAGCTTGACATTTCGTTTTCAAGAATAAATATGATCATTCTTATAATAGCATTAAAGTATAGTTCTATTAGCACTTCTATTTTAAATAGAATGCTACACTAAACATCGCAATGATAGTTTTGTTGCAAAAAAATCTTTTCCATTCTACTAGTATTCGAAAAAATTCATAGATTCACTGTGTTAAGACTGTCGATAGGCGTGAAAGAATATTGTTATACTTAAGCAGACTTTGGATGAATAAAAGATACGCTGGTACTGCATGTAACTCAAAGTAATAAAGTTAGGAAATTGATCAGTCTATGTGTATAAAAAAAATGCTTCGAGGCACTCTATTTTCACAAGTACTCAAGAGCTACAATAAATCATTAAAACATACTGAATAGTTTTAGTAGTGAGAAAATAAAATTTTACTAGTACTAGGGAGATGGAAACTACTCAGTACTCCTTTCACATAAGTGCTTATTATTTTAGGCGACTATGCCGTCGTCGAATTATTTGTTACTCAGTATCCTGCAACAAAACAGCAAACTAGTAAAGATGGTCTAACTGCTTTAAAAATCGCTCAAAAACTTAAATTTCCACGCATTGCTCAACTAATAGAAACAGGAAAGTCTGTACCAGCGCCAAATGATTCATCGTCTGAATCCAAAGAACCTGTCCATAGTTACGAAGTACTTGTAGAAGCATCTCGAAATGGTCGCATAAAAATTTTACAAGAGTTTTGCCAACAACGTTACAAATCAATAGAGCAAAAGAAACAAATATGCGAGCAACTGATAGACATCGCGAAAAAAGCAAATCAATACGAAATCATAAATATTCTTGAACCCTACTACAATAAGACATTGAAAACGACATTGCCCTCGGATATTGAAATCGGTGAAGTCGTTACTCTAAGAGAAGATTATAAGAAAATCTTGCTTGCATGCTTGTGTGGTCTCAGTGACGTAATAACTAATAGCTCTGTTGTACTCGATCCTACAGATCCTAATACATATAGAGAATTTTTCTCTGACCTGTCAGTAAATACTAAAAAACATTCACGCGATCTTCAAACTATTGGTAATGAACAAGATGTGAAAACATTGATTACAAAAGACTCGGAAAGTACTGGTGAACATTTAGCAAAAATTAACAGTCAATTAAAACAATCAATGGACCATCAAAAAAGTCTAACGGCCAGAATTAAAGATAAAAATGAAAAATTATCGAAAGAGCACGATCTATCGCCTTTGAAACTTAAACAATTGTTTGAAGAAAGAGAAATGCAAAAGAAACAGTTAGCTACTTATGAATGTTCAATATTATTATATCAACGTCAACTAGAATCTAAATTGAGTAGGCAAAATACAATTAATTTCATTAAAAACAATTCAAATATGTACCTATTCTATCGGACGATTGAAAATCGGTTGGAAGCGCTGTTTCACAGTGTTCTGGCAGCTCAAGGTGGCTATTTGCAAACGACACAAACTTCGAAGTATGGAACCGCAGCAAGTGTTGTCAATATGGTACCGACATCTATTTTTCCGTTCTGTAAGTATTTACACATTCAAAATTGCGGTCCGTATGCACAAAAAAAAGAAAAAAGACATACTGATAGAGATGTGATGACTTTTTTTGGGAGAATTATGATAACACTTTAGCTCTCAAAGATACTGATCTTCTGATAAGTAAAGAGCAATGCATAATATTTTTTGATTGTGTCAGTCTGTATCCGATGCCTTCAATTGTAGTTTCAGAGTCAGTCAAAAGTGAAGTATGGATGAATTCAATATAGTAGAAATTTCTGATTACGAAGAAAAAAACATAAGTTTTCTAGTCTTCTACTTTGCTTCCTGAAGGGAACTTCTTAAAGTTCTAAACACAAAGGTTAAGATGGCCATTTTTTATGAGTTGGTATGACAAGACAAAGCAGAGATTTTTTATTTTTGGATTCGACATACACGTATTTTTTGGATGATACTTCGCCTTCGTGTATTATTTTGTATTTTTTATTCTATTATAAACTTTCACTTATAATTGATATTGACTTTTCAATAGTTTCTATCATCTTCGTGTTCATATATCTGTCATTGTTTCAGCGGACGTGATTGTCGGAGCTGTGAAATGGACATTTTCCAGTGTTCTTTCAAAATTAGATGAAAAAGCACAAAAAAAAGAATGGCACAATATTTCCACGTTAGGTAACATTGAAGAGCTCGGACGAATAGCATCGGACACAGCTGGCCTTTTGACACTCTATTATAAAGAACAAATACAGTCGATTGATGTGAAGGGGAAAATTAAGGGTAGCAACGTTTTTAATGATAAAATAAAATGGATCAAAGATGTCTTTTACGATGTTCGACCAGAAGGTTCTGAAGAAATGGCTGTTGTTATTGTTGCTGAATATGTCACTGCTTGGCTTCTCGATGCATTGAAATCAGGCATACAAGTAATTAATCCAACAGAACCATTACCGCAACAACTTTGGCTCTATGTAGCTAAGACAGATCCCATTGATCAAGGAAGAGTAACAAAAGTAACGAACGTTCTCGTAGTTTCATCAGGACAACAAAAAATTCCTTTGAGAATAAAGAACGATCCAGATAAAGAAATCATTGTACAAGTGCAATTGCGCTATCTGATTGGCTGTGTTACGGTAGTTGGTGCCGATGGAATCATTTATCAGTATCCTATATCTAAAGATTCTCCTAAAGACATAGAATTAAACGATTTGGAAAATTTCGGTTATGTGTATTTTGTACCTTTCTCATCGGATGACAACGACCTTAAAGCGATTATTAATGGAAGAAAATTGACAGAAGTTGATAGAAATCAAAATAAAGATATTACGACGCGATTCGATGATATTTTGGAACCTGCAAAAACTTATCAAAGGCAAAGTAATGAGCAAGCACGACAATCATTCATTACAACTGAAACAACCAAAGAAGTGGCCAAAGTAATTCGAGAAAAAAACGTATTTTGTTGATCCTGAAGACGTCAAGGAAAAACTTGAAAAAGCACGATATGATATTGAATCGAGTGTTGATAATTTGAGAGAAGATATTAAACAGAAAACGGACTTTTATCAAACGTCAATCGATGCTGCTTTTGAACAAATCAAAAACGAATCGGCCGTCAACCGAGAAACAATGAAAAAAGACAATCAAGAACGCTACGAACAAGTATGGAGAAAATTGAGTGAACAATTAAAAGAAACCGAAGGACGATTAGAAAAACGAATTGAACAGCGTTTGAATGATATCGAAATGTTTTTGCAAGAAGAATGTAAGCAAATGCGAGCAATCGTCGTAGTGGCACAAACAGACGCAAGTAAAGCGCAATTACAAGCAGATGAAGCAGCTAAGACAAGTAAACTCTCTGCTCAACAAGCAACAGAAGCCAAAGATTATACTCAAAAATTAGTAGCAAGCACAGAAGAGCGAAAATGTGAACTTCAAGCCGTAGCCGATAAATGCGAAGCTCTAGTCAAACAAACGGTTACTCAACAGAAAGAGCTTTTAGAACGTTCAATTTTAGAAATACGCACAAAAGTTCAACAGGACTTTGAGCGTACTAAACAAGCAGCCCAAGAATCGGCCATCAGTGCGAAAGAATCAGCACGAGCCGCCAAAGATACTGCGTCAGCTGCTCAGGAAACAGTGAAAGTAATGAAAGATCAGCTAGAAACGCAGAAAGATGAAACAAGAAAGATCATCGCAAATAATAAAGATCTTGTCAAACAAATGGATCGAATGAGTGATGAAGCACGTCAAACCGAGAAAGAAACAAAGCGATCAGCTGATGCATCTGTCACTGCATTGGAAAAAGTTAATAATATGTATCCTAAAATGGAGAAAGCACTGGATCAACTCGAAAGACTAGCGAAGAAAATTGAAACGAAGTAATTTTCACAAAGCACTAATGTATATAAATGACATGATTTTCGTCTTATCTGCAGAATAATTTGCTTTTTATTTCCTAATTTTCAAATAAATAAATGTATTAACACAAGAAAGATTCTAAGTATGTCGCGTTATAATGTAAACACTACGAAGAAATAGATTTGCCAATTTTTTTATTTTCTCGTCAAACATGCCGTCGTATATTTCAAGATATCACGTTGCAGTAGAAAATAATCACTGAATTGCTCATCAATCAAATTACAATAGAAACCAACCTTTGTTTTTGATAACATTCACTTGTTACCGTACTAATAAAGATGCCAACTCATAAAGCTGCAAAAATGCTCTATTACCTTCTGAACGGTGCCGCATTATCCAAATACTCCTTTATCACAAAAAAATGATTTCGGAAAGTAAACATAAATGATTTTTAGTATTACATTATCTACATAGATATGGCAGCTTAAGCTTAGCGTCAACAGATGGCTCTCTACAACGCTCTCTTCTAATACATTTTGGCATTGATTTTACTCTTCCTCTGCCATTGATGTTTGCCTTCCTTCAATCATTTTCATCGTACATTTTGCATCATAACTATTCTACTCACAGTATAGTTGAGCACAATTGTTTTATTTGAAAAGAAAGCCATTCCAATTGATTCAATTAAATATCAACAAAAATTGACTGCAGACTCTCCTGTAAGTCATTTATTTTGTTTTTAACTATTGTCTTAGTAACATGTCCTCATGGTACATGATTTGTCGATTGGTTATAGATGCTTTGTGAGTGTAGTTCTAAGAAATTAATTGCTGGAATATATACCTCTGAAACCGTTTCTGAAACTTATTCGTACGCTTTACAAAAAGAGTTTCTACAGTTATTGCATAATGACAGCAAGAAAAAAGCGAGAAGTTTGAAGTTAAATCAAAATTTTGAAATCATTGACCATTGACTCGATCTTTAATTATTCGTAGATTTATCATCTCTTGTTTTTAAACTTCAGTAATCTCCTAACAAAATTTCTATTCTGGAGTGTTCTATGCTCAATTTTCTAAGTTTATACGAACACGCCACTCTGTATAAAACATCGGTTGCTCCATCCCCATTTCAGACACTATTTTAGGCTGTTATATCATGCCCGATGTCATCACAGAAAACACTACCGAAAAGTACAGCCTGCCAATTTCAGATTTAAGTTCTAGATTTAACAAAAACGATGGCTACTAAAGAAGATGATCTGGCTGATGAATTTTCAAAACTATCAACTAAAACACAAAATGAGATCAAACTTAGCAATGGAATAGATCCCACATGGTTGACTGCACATTCGATCAAAGATGGGTATTCGTTTTGGTGTCAATTGACATTGAAACAGTTAGTTGATCGACAATTGAGTCAAACATATTTTCAAGAATTAATATTTATTATCGAAAAAGAGCAGCAAATTTATGATTTTCATATGCGATTGCACCCAAAAGGCCAAAATGGTTTAACGGTTGATTTTCTATACAAGACCGCCGCGAATAAATTAGGCCCAGACCAAGGAGATGTGTGTATTTCATGCGATATGAACAATCCATTGTCTCAATCAAGTTTGATTAAGAAGAATCCAACAACATGTATTTGGTTAGATGCACAGTTGAGAAATAAATTAATTATTACACCACGAAGACACATCGAAAGATTATCACAAATGTCAGAGGAAGAAATGACACAATTTTGGCAAGATGCACAAGCAATCTTGAACGAAGAAGGATGCAATTGGGAGACCATGATTCTAAATCATGGAAAATATCGTACTCATTCTCATCTCCATATGAAAATCAATATCGGGCAAACTCAGTGGATTCGATGCATTGAAAATAAGTACAAAGAGAAAATACAACAAATGCAAAATCTATTTGCATGTGAGGAACGAGATACTAATATAAAGAAATATTTTGGTAATCGGAAATTTAATAAATGGAGTGGAATCAAAAAACAATAAAACAAAGAGAAATAAGCGACGAGGTTTGAAAGGGGAATTATGCACCAAATAAAGTTGTACAAGCCGTGTCTAATTTCTTAATGCGGGATATTTGAGTTTTGTTTGGATCTAAATATATTACGCGGTATATCAAGTTTTCATAATTTTAATGCAACCTTATTTTTATTCGAATAAAGCAATAGAATGTACTTGAACGACAATTTATTCATTGGGTTTTGCTTCACTTACAGAAACGAGCCAATGAAACATACACAATTGACAGAATTTATTGCAAATTTAACCTCGACACATTAAAAATTGAACTTTTATGATAAGCCTCTTACTGACAGTCTATATATAGTGATAGAAACTCAGCAAATCACAACAACAAATTAACATGGACATATAAGGCAGCGTGTTTTGTAATCAATTTATGTACAGGTACGCCTACTCCATTCATGCGATGCGTTCTTTAGAAAAGGAAGTAATTAATAATGGCTGTTCTGTACACGTCACCTTCCATCAATCAAAGCATGACTTTGTATTTTGCTCTGCACACGGTGATTGTGAAGAGCAAAAACATTTCTTCCACTCGGAGTCTCACACTAATCATGAACTACTATTTTTAGTATTGAAACTGCATCGCAGAGGTGGAATTCAGTTGCATAAAGACAGTGAGTAGGACGAAGAAGAAAGCATTATTTTCACGCATGATTTTGTTCTTTATTCTTCTCGTCGGCAATCGTGGCGTATGCAAGTTAATATTGCAGAGATGCATCGACATAAGTACATGATAACACAGATTATTAGATAGTATTGCATACTAGTTGATAGAAATATATGCGAGTACGACAGTATCTATATCAACACATCCCTCCTTTCTTAGTATTAGCTCCAAACGTAGAGGAAAACTATTTCCTACGCGTGAATGGCTACCTTTTTTGTTTTGTTGTCTCAAATTTATAAAAGCAAGTGTGAAATTTGTTTTTATTTCGTTGAATGTATCGTTTCAGGTTCACATTATATCTCGCATCATACAGTACATAAAAGCAACATTGCATTGTGACAACATTTAGACATAATAACGAAAACTTTTCGTGTACAACTTCACATCTACATTTCGTCGTCCAGGTTATCGTGAAATAATCAAAATAAATAGCATATGTGATCCTGAAGAAATTGTTTGTTCGAAATGGAGTGAAGAAGACGAAAACTATTATCAATTTATTAACACAGCTCTTCTTGATGATAATTATGAAGTATTGAAAAAACATGCAAGATTTATCAATAGTTTAAGAATGGCGATTAAGAATAAGCATAGCGACGAAACTATTGTAGTTTATCGTGGATTATCTATTGATAGTAAACAGATGGAAGAAGAATATAAAATAGGTTCACAATTTGTATGGCCAACATTTACAAGTACATCAAGAGATAAAGATGTAGCCGATGGTTTCGGGGATTATATATTTGAAATCCATGCAGCAGGGCATGATTGGACATATCGTAGTGATGTTTCCAAATATTCTGCATGTCCAGAAAAACAAGAAGTCCTATTTTATCCATGTAGTGGTTTTGTTGTTCAGAATATTATCAAAGATGCAAAAATCATTCAATTAAAATGTATTGATACACTGGCAGTCGAATCGAGCTGTGCAGAATCTATTCCACGTTGTGTTAAAATGTTCGATCGTTCGAGAAATTTTTTATGCTTATTTTTATAAAGATAGCAACGATATTTGTATGTCGTGGGGTTCTCAACCAAATAGAATGTTTTTAATTGCAGAAAATACGAATGGCTATTGGGATGCGCCTTACCGTTATCATCATTGTAAGGGATACTTTTTGAAAACAGGAAACAATCAATGGAAGGAATATAAAAACAATAAACTATTTGCAAAGTTTCAAACAGTTGATGATGATGACGAGTACAATTCGACCACTTCAGAATACGATAACTCAAGTAATGAAAACTGGCCGTTCTACCGTCCGATGAATGGCTCGAAAAATCGGGTCGAAACGGTACCATGCGATGTCGGTGCTGACCAATATATATATATAGTTGAACTGTACAGATATTTATCTTTTGAAATGAAACCAATGTTAGAAAAATCTACTATTCGATTTGTTCCAATTATATATTTCATTTTATTTTCTTATATTAGGTTTATATTGTGGTTGTGGATGCGGGTGGGTGCCACTGAATAGATGAAGTATATGCAAGTCAACACACTCACACCCATCTGTTTTTGTATTTAGTTTTCGTACTAATTTATAATATCTATTGTCATCTCACTTAGTTGCGAATGTGTTTCTCTAACGGAAATAATTCAGTTCTTTGTTTATTTTGATAGAAACCGTATAGACCGCTTGATACGACTTCAGACATTTATACTAACTCAAATAGGAACATATCTGAAATGGCAGAATCTCTGTTAGAAATAACACAGATAAAAGCTCTTTAATTTCTTTTTATTTAATTTCTTGTAAGAGAATACTATGTATAGGCGAATGAAGTTGAAGAGCAAGATGTTGCTGTTTCTCCTTAGCGTAACAGCCGCTAATTAGTATCCAATACTTGCGAATAGGCTATTGAATAAAGAAGACTACCATCTCTTCCCTATTTTTATCACACCGATTAAAAAGATAGTGGGCCTGAAAATAGTAGGTGTCAATAATCAGGCATGGAACGTCTTTTGGAAGAAAAATTTCATCATTTTTCATGTTAAAATTGTTCTTATTGACTCTATGAGAGAGAAAAAATCACAGGTCTGCCATTTGACGAATATACAAAAGAGTTTTAGGTCTTGCCAATGTTTATATGTCTCGTTTGAGCCATTCAATCACGAGTTTCTTTATAGCATTGTTGTAATACGGACTGAAGTTCATATCCGGCGTCTCATTATCTAACTTGCATATAGGTTTTAATGAAGTGATGTTATCTGAGAGAGCAGTGGTGAGGAAAAGGATTGTCTGATCATGCTCAATCTTAGCTATGCATACAATTGGTACTGCACAATGTCGCTCCTGATGGTTGTAAATGAGTTCATCCATATTTTTCACTTCGTTATCGTGAGTTTTGATTGACCACCAATTTTTATCATGTGACCATTTGGCAACAGTTGTATACTGCTGAGTAAAGTTTTGTTTTATTCGAGCAAGCATTGTAACTGTTCGAGGATAGGGATCTCCGAGGGGTAACAACATATCCATAGTGGATGCTGTGGGGAAAAATTTATCAATATGTGTTGCTTCAAAGTCGTTAAGGCAAGTATCAATCGTGGTCAAATGATCAACTAATTCATCTATATGCCATCTATTATCAACTGGACCGAAAGCACGCTCAAATGTGTGTAATAGTTGTTCGTTCACTTTTGTTGTATCGTCAATATCGCCTAATGAGATACATTATCGGATTGTTTTTGCACTCTTACGATCTTACCTAATTTTTTATTAATCGTTTGTTTAAGATCACTTGCTTGGTTGCAAAAATTAACCGTACTCATTTGATCGAGCCATTTATCAGTTATTAACCAATATAAAATACAGCAAACGCCAGTGGAGTCTAGTGTGGGGTTATTCAATTGGCCACTGGATGATAAATAGTGTGTTAATTTAGAAAAAATGTTATCAAATGTTTGCTTCACATTATCGGTGGAATGTCGTTTAATTACATGCTCAATCATTTTTAAATCATCTTCTTCACTTATTTGTGATTGTTGGCTATCGATCCAACACAAATCAAAGTCAATCAGTATCAGCTTAACTTCATCGACTGACGCATGAACTTGAGCACGTTGTACCATGATGTTATTCGGTTCTAGATTTCGATGAATTACACGAGCCTTGTGACATCGTTGAATAATATTAAGCAATTGACGCGCCAGAGACAATATCACACGAACTGTGATCTGCGACTTGTGCTTATCAACATAATCTTTGAGAGTTGACTCCGAAACTAATTCAGTTATTATCCACATCGGCGCATCTTCTTTTCGAGTAACATCAAGAATGTTGCTTTGATATATCGATACGACAGACGCTTCATCTAAACATAATCTCTAGTCATGTTTGTAAAGGTCTATCGCGAAGTCTAAAAGGTGATACCACTGTAGAAAAACAATTTTTTGAAGCTTCGGAATCTAAAATCCAGGGATAAACAGCGACTTTTGGGTTTTCTCCCAGTACTGTCTTGAAAACAAAAAGGTAACATGCTATACTAGATACAGCTTTGAGAGATGATGAAAATTTGCCGTGTTTTTATTTTGGAAGGTTTTATTTATGTTTTCGATAGTGATTTCGAAGCATGTTACTAATTCTGTTTAAGAAATGATGAATGAAATCAATTTAAACACAAATGTTGGAATGTATTAATGTGAAGAACTCTTTTTATTTAGAGGCTACATATGTAAAAATACACAAATAGAAGAATTTAACCATCTCATACAGACTTCAGATTTTCATTCTAGGCAATAGCCGTTCACAATTTATACTTGGAATTTAGATCCGAAGTCCAATTGTTCACATTAATGGAAATATTGGCATGCGATAGGGTCTTTAACATTTGGTAATAGATAGTTATTTCATAAATATATAGGTCATAACGGAAAATATTCATTAAAAGAAGAAAAAATGTTAGTCTACCAATGGTATAGTGAAAAAATCTTCCTTGAACGAATACTTTAAAAAATGCCTCTTCACAGAATCTAACTGTAACATATACAATAATAGAACAAATACTTTTTCAGGCCAAAAGTGCTTGAGTTCTTGAAAATTGTCATTCGTGACCATTTTGCTTTGCATCAATTCTACTGTATAGATAACAACTTAAAATTCGCAGTATTCTCCATCATTGCAAATCATTCAAAATAGAATGATAAAAATAGGAATCTTTCTTAAATCAAGGCGTATAGACACAGTTGCTAATTAGTCGTAGTTGTATTAGTTACAAAATATTTTTAGAACTGAATTTATGATGCATCGAATTAATGTGTTTTTTCTATACATACTTTTGAGTGCTTGCAGTGCTAATAATTCTCGACGAGCTCGCATTGACTCTAGATTACTTGAATGGCGATACAGTTTCATCGCGCCAAGACGATTGTCGTTCGATTCGGTTGAATAAACCAAATAAACTTCGCTCATGGTATGACCAAGCCTTCGATTCGTCCACACCCATTCAGAGGGCATTCCAATGATTTCATTGATCCCGAGTGATAATGCTATAGATATTAACATCCTCTCTGAATATCATATAGTGTTAAAAATAATAAGTTACGTGCAAATACAGTAGAAAGTTGATGATCACCATTGTTATCTATAGAAGGGCTCGATGGAATTTGTTCGATGGGCGCACGATCATATTCAAGTTGACATTTAACTATGTAGGTTACTCTTATAGTATAGCCATGCCATTCGTAAACTCGCCTACGTGCAAGTTTTTCAGCTGCTTGTCGAGTAAGATAGAAATGTCGAAAAGTTGAACCTGCTGGCATTTCAGGAGTTTCAATCAAGTTAAGTAGACTGAGTGGTTGGCCCTTTAATTCTGTCAAAAGTTCTAGCGCCGTCATATTACTTGGAAGGCCATCAATTTTTATACGGTACTGTTGGTCTATAGGTCTAAGAAAAGATTAAAAGAGGTTTAACATACATCCTATTAAAAGTTTGTTGGAGACGATTATTTTATCTTCTTGTTCAATTCAATATACAGCAAGATCTGCAACTATTTGATTAAATTTAAAAAGAACATATGTTCATGCAAATAAATTGAGCAATAAATTTATAATATCTAATATTTTCCTGCACATTCATTGAATAGACTACTGGTTGAATTAATCAAATAGGACACCACATATATGGTTTTGCAAAAGTAATACGATTAAGCATACGTACCCCGCCGAACGATATCGTGGATTTGGTACGATGGCTCTCTGAGTCGAATGACTGTATGGACATTGGTCAATGGTGCATTCGTCACCGTATGTGCATGTGACATGTCGATATATGCAATTGTTGCCATGTTTGCACCAACCATCACGATTGCCAGAGCACAATGTCCATTCATTCAGTGGCTCTTGCTCAGCATTGCATTCGATATCGACCCCATCGATACTTTTGACTGATTCAGCTAGCTGTTGAGCTTTAGTCATAGAGTTAAGTTTTAAAATCCACGCTTCGAATGGATCTACATCCACGAATTTACCCTTTCGAATGAGTACATCCCACACACGACTCCCAAAAAGAGTCGCTAGTTGCTCACCGCTCACGTGAGGTGGTATATTTTTTACATGGACACAAAAATTGATGTCATTTGGAGCGACAGTATTCTCGTCTACTCAGATACAAATGCGATGAATATTATATCGTAGAAAGAAAATATAAATATAGCTATTTCTCACATGCTTGTCTTATGTTTGCCGATCGCATTTTTTCCAATCTAACTGTGATTCCATTGATTGTATGTGTCAAAGAAGTCATGAGAGCCCGGTCAACTGAATCATAGCTTTATAGACACATTCTGTAATGCGAAATTTCTATAACTCATGATGAAACACTCACTCTTCAAAATCTATGGTTGCCACATTGTCAAATTTCCAGCCAAAACCTGTTACTTTACCATAATTTGTTTCAAAATACGTACGAAGTTCATTTTCATCTAAGGTACGCCCTGAGGTACTTAGTTGGACAAAAACCAATAAACGATTGGTCCTTTGGAATAGAATTCCGGTCGGCATCCATCGCTGGATAGTTACAGGGTATCCATCGAGCATGGATGCCTGCCTTCGTTGGCTGTCCATGCAAAGTTGAAAAGCTGATTTAGTCGTAAATGTGATGTAGGCTGACTTTTTCAGCTTTCCTATAATATTCATCAATGCTGCATAACTTTGCTCACAATTTCAACTTACCATCACTTGGAGTAATATGAGGCTCCATCGACAATTCACCGAACTGCTCGGCAAAAGCAATTATGGTCGGACGACTTACAGATGCAGGAATGTGTGTGATTGAAATTGAACTTTCAGCCGTTTCATTTCCAAAATTTGGACGTAGTGTGCTATTTTCCGGTCGGTCATATTGAAATCTATGCTGAATATTCAAACGGTCCTAATATTCTTACTGGCTTGCTGTGCTCACCCTTCGATTCGGAATCGATCGGTCGAAGTCTGAAGATTTAGACATTATGACCTTGTTTGAATTTGACTAGTCGTTGCTACAGACAGACTTTCCACAGCTTAATGCATCAAAATATTAATCAAATCTATAATTGAATAAATTATTCTGAAAAACTGCCTAGAAAAGTGACTTTATTTCATCGATCACCAGTTACTTCCAAAAAAAACCGTAGCATCAAAACATATCTAATGAAATCTAATCATCTGATGGTTACGACTTTGTTTGGCATAACTTGATGAATTTCTTTGAAAATCTTCCACATCCGACTACTTCAAGATATCTCACCAGATAGGTATGCCATGGAGGGTGCTTCTACATGATACACATCCCCCTCATTGTTTCAACGTATATGAGAAAGAAGAAAGAAGACAGGAAGAAAACGTTATTGGATCATTCTCTCTATCAATTGAAATATTGCGATCAAAGATGTCGTATTACTGTATCAGAAATTTATTTAAGGAAAAAAGAGGACATCAGGCAATCTGTTGCAAACCATATTTTGAAGTGGGTGAGAATGTACGTCTGTAAGCTTCATATGTGAGCCGTAGGGTGAACATGCAGTTAAGGAACGCAAAAGACAGAAAGGGACGACACTTGTGAGACTTGAACCCACACCACACCTTCAGCCATTCGGGCAGTTATCCTAACCAGTTCGGGTAGAAGGCGCACTATAATTTTTGTTTAGCGTCAGTGACGCTAACAACTTTCATGTATGTGGATGCGGTGAAATGAGTATTCTTTCTCTAACAATTAGGCAACTTCACTAAGATGCGGTTGTGGGTGGGTGTAGATATGAGTTTGATTTAAATAAAGACATACCCACACCTGTCATTGTTCATAACTTACGCCGACACTTACACCCTCAAGAGTTTAGATTAGTTGATTGATTAATGTCACATAGAGATACAAGGCAGCGTGGGCTTTTATTCATCTGTACACACACACACACAGAACAACCCCAGGCACCCGATGGATCCTTTGAGCAAGTAAGAAGTAAATAATGTTTGCTCTGTACACTTCACCCTCTCACAACCCACAAGTGACTGAGTAGTTTCTTCTGCACATAGTGATTGCGAGAAACAAAAACATTTCTTGTGCTCTGCATCTTACGCCAATCATCGATGACTATAATTGGTATTGAAATTGCATCGCAGACGTGAAATTCAGTTACTTAAAGTTGGAAGAAAGAAAAGTCAATTATTTTCACGTGCAATATTGCTGTTTACTCTTCATGTAGACAATAGTGACTGGCATAAGCTAGCCGTTTTCTGAGATCAGATTCGAATAGAAACTTCGACAGTAGCAGCATTTTGAAAAAACAATCTAATATTGATTCCCAAACTACTATATAACAAATGAAGATGTGAGCGAGCGTGTGCGTTTACATTGGCCAATTTGAGTAGTTATCAAGAGGAAATGCATTGATATCAAAATAATGCGTCCATACTACTGATCGAAATCTACTGCTATAAAGAAATCCTCATACATCCACACTCTGTTCGTCATGTTTTTTCGCTATTCTTTCCTTCGCTACTTTTTTCCACCATTTTGATGCACACCAAATATTTTTATACACAAATCATTTTCTTCTGTTTTTTTTTGCAAAAACATAAAATAAATAGAATGAAACAGATTGTGTTTGATCTTGCTCTCTCTATTTTTTTCTTTAAAATGCTTGTTTTCCTTCACTCACTGTGTGCTTTGTATTGTACTATACAAGAATGAAACATTACACAGATCGACCAAGATAATTAACAGAATTGTTTGGTAGCGTATTTAATGCTTTCCTTATGTTTATATTTGTGAATATAGCTGCTATTTCGCCCTGAATTCAGAATTATCGAATAGTACGTCATTGTTTTCGATGCCAGGATTAATTATTAAGATGAATTGCGCTAGGCTACTTCTGTCAATTAAAGCAAAAATTGCAACAAAACGAGCAATTTTAGTCAAGCAATAGCTTCTCTGTTAGTTTTTTTGTCTCTTTTTGTTTCACAATGCAATATAAAAGACTGTTATTATGAGCACATTTTCTGTGTTTTGTAAGAATGTAACTTTTGGTAATCCTTTTTCTTAGATAAAGACGCCTACAAGAACTAGATGAACGAGTACGGAAAAGCCACACTTAAAAGTAATACTTCCCAGCGATATTACGCAAGTCAAGAACGTAATTTGTGCAAAAGGAATCGTGACGGTTTAAGTAAGATTGTGCATTGTCGACATCATTTGGACCCGAACTGCCCCTGTGTGAAAGACTTCAACGTGGATAAAAGTAGGTCACTGACATAACGAGAAGCCAAGGTTGGAGTGGCATCATACAGACGTAGTTTGATGGAAGAATCGAACGAAAGGAATTCAAATAAGTATAAATTACTGTGCAAAATTATTAAATGCAAAGAAGACGAACAAGATTTTTATATCGCTCAATATGAATCAAGTTACGGTCCCATGCTGTCTGAAGATATATTCGATATCGACGATTCTATTGTTCATCTAAGAAAGCGTAGTTTTTGCCCATACATTATATTCCTAGTATTCATTGTCACTTTATCTTTTGTGTTTTTCCTTTATCACATAATTTATAATAAATCCAAGTAAAATATATACGCAGTATCTGCAATATCCAGAAAATATTTAGAGTGTAAACCGTTTCAAATCTCTGTGTAAATGATTAAATTATTGATTCCTAGAACATAGTTTTATTTTTATATAGCATCATATGGCATTAAAGTCAATGCAAAATGTATTACTGTCAAGCATTGACCAAGACCAAGTAATGTAGCAAAGATAAGATCTTTCCTTTGTACTGCAGTTTTTTATCGTCGATTCATTCCAAACGTTAGTGATGTAGCAGCATCACTAACAGATTTAATGAAGGGGTGTGAGTGTGAGCTAGTGTAGAACAAGTTATCTAGACACCAACATCCACACATAGTTGAGAGTTATCTGAACGTATATCTCTTTCTCATTCGCATAGAATCTTCAGAACCATTCGTACTGATATTTGCCACTTGATAATTTATTTATCAAGATCCTAATGAAATGCACATTGTGTTATGGTTGCTTATCTCAGTCTATTTTATAAATGAATATTTTCTTTGCTAGTTCAATTCAGAAATATTTGGACGCTACATTCCTTCAAAATGTCTCTCTTTTGAATTGTATGCAGTAACTCAACCTACCTAATGAGTGCCTTGAGAAAGCACGGAAATAGTCGTAGGATCTTCTTTTGTATAATACTCATCCATAGCTTAAAAGGCATTGCTACAATTATTCTACTTTATTCTTTTTCTTCCGAATCGATCGAAGGAAGAAGTGATTCTATTGCTCTGATAAACTTTTTTATCGTGGCCAGAAGTTCTGTTTTGCTACTACGGAAAATTTTCCAGGTAAACGAATAAAAAATTGAATTTCTCGTGCACCGATGAGAGATTCAAATTTGCAGTTCACTGAACACTACTGTCCTGACAATGTCACTGGCTCGAATGAATGTTCGAATATGCAACGAATCTCTTCGTTGTAGAAAAAATCAAATAGTTTAACGGTGGAATTGCCGACCGGTAATCGGAAGATTTGTATTCGATTCCTGGTTTGATTTTGTGATCTTTTTGAGCAAGTTATTCATAATACTAGTAATTATGAATTACAATAAGCCGCCGATGCATTGGTTAATTATGTGTCAGCATAATCACTAGTATTCATAATGAAGTAAAATGTTATCGTTCGGAAAGAAAGCGTTGGTCATCATCATGCCATTATTTATCATGCCGACATTGAGGGTAAATCAAAGCAAACAAATCAATAAAAGAATCTCAGAAATATTCATGTTAAAAATCTACTACGGCTATTGTGCCATGTGTAATTTGTAGACATCATGTGCGTTCAGAAATAGATAAAGAAGGATATACGAGTATTTGATCGAGAAAAATCTTGTTTTAAGATATTGTGCCGAACAACATTGTATCGTAGTTGTAAAGATCATCTCAATAATTATATTAAGAGTCACAACATACGATATTGCTAAGTCTGAATTTCAGCTGTTACTTCGGTTTATCTTAGCGATTGTTTGCATAGATACGTGAAAATTTCGTTTTCAATAACAAATAAATGGCAAAACAACGTTGTACCAAGAAAAAAGAACCTACTACATTGATTTCAAATGAATAGAGCCTTCTTTTCCTAAGTCAGGAAAAAAACATTTATTGTGAAGTTTATAATTTTGCGCATCATATTTTCAAGATGATAACGCAAATCTATAGTTACAAAGACATTATGACTGACACTTTCTTATCAATTATGTGTTAGTAGGATTGTGTAATGACGAGAATCAAGAGACTCAGACCAAAACAACAACAAGTGACGCAGATGTATAAAACTTTTATCGTTATGAAAAAGAAATTTGACAAAAAGTTTACATAATAATGTTTGAAAAAAATTTCAATATCACCGCTTTTCTTTTCGTTATATTGGCTCTATCGACTTGGCTTGACCTCAATGGTGTCTGGGTCGAACTTCCGTTGATTGTTAATGAAGTACCCGAAGGTTGGGCTCTACCTTCGCTTCTGAGTTTTGCTGTCGCTCTTAGTAATACAGCGCCGATTATTATCATGCTACTGAAAGCATTTTTTAAAGGGCGCCTCGACGAACGTATTTTCATCTACATTGAAATTATAATTGGAATCGTCGCTTGCGGTTTAATGGCTCAATATTGGAATAAGACACATTGGTTTGCTGGTGCTCAACATTCTGTTCTTTTCGTTATATTCGTTTTTCTTCTTGGTACTCTAGACACAACATCAACAGTTACGTATTCTGATTACATGAAGCGATACGATGGGAAATTGTTAAATGCTCTATTTCTTGGTGAAAGTCTCACTGCTCTGATCCCATCCATTCTCGCTGCGATTCAAGGCGTAGGCGGTGAAGCTGTTTGTTCAGCCAATTCGACTCAGCCAGAATATTCAAAACCACGTTTTTCTGTTCAAGTCTATTTCTGGATTTTTGCTGCCATTATTCTTTCTTCTCTTATTGCTTTTCTCATACTCGAATGGACGAGTATTTCTCAATCATATCGTACGGAAAACTATAAAACATCGGACATAAGTCAACTATGCATACAGACAGAAATATCATCTCCTTTAAATCTAAACCTAATATCTGATTCAATGAGTAAATACATGTACTATTATCTACTTGCTATTGCATACATTGTAAATCTTCTTCTCTTTGGCATTCTACCATCCATTGGTACCTATGTAATGTTACCTTATTCTCAAAGTGCATATTATATTGCAAGTCTGGTTTTACCTATTTCAAGTCTACTGTCGGTAATTATTGCTCTAGTCGGTAAAAGTCGATTACAACTATCGGCCATCATCAGTCTATCTTTTATCGCAACATGTCTGACGGTATATGTGATTGTTTTAGCTGCTCTCAGTCCTTGCCCGCCGTTACACGATACCATAGGCGGTGCTGTTATTGCCATTGTTTGTTACTTCACTGCGGAATTAGTATACAGTTATATTCGTTTAGTTATAGCCAACCGTGTTCGACAAGAATATGAACGCGAACATGGACTATTCTGGCTTGGTGCAATCAGTCAAATGGGTGCATTGAGTGGATCGATACCAATGTATTTTCTTATCAATAATATGCATGTTTTCAAAAGTCGACAAGTTTGCCGAAGTTACTGTTGAATCAATTATTTCGATAGAGTTCTATTTCATGCAGATGTATCACGAATAGGATTCGGTACGAATCTCTTGATATTTTATTTGTGTTGATTTAAATTTCTATTATAAATAATAAACGCCGTGGCGAGAATAAGTTATACATACTACAAAAATGCTCGTTAAAAAAATAGCATAAGTAAGATTTATAATGGAAAATATATTCTAATTAGGATTTCTCGATGTGTGTGTGTGATGACGTAAAATCTTCTTGATTTTTCAAATGTACAGTGATGAGAATTCTCATAGAGACAAACCTTTGTGGTATAACTTCTGCTATTTTGGTATCATTACCACCATAAAGAAAACCAATTTTTTTGATAAGCAATTGCAAAAGAATGTTCTCTTGTTAAATCTGAATGATGAACTATCCATTCTTGAAGATTTTCAGTTGCTTCAGCTGACATTGAACCACCGATATGAAGTGAAAAAAGTTCTTTGTTCTTCCAAAGAAGAAGTGCTGCTGTTATAATTGAGTCAATGAACGTTCTTGAATTTTTGATATTTAGAATAAACTCAATAATTTTGTTGAACACAAGAGCAATACGTTTTAATTGTTCGGTATCGATTGCTTCCACTCGAAAAATTTCGAGACGAACAATTTGTTTTTGTAATAGACTACAGGTGGGTTCATCTTCAAGAAGATGTTTGATAGAGTTGTGCTCGACAATTAAGTATTCGAGATTAGGAGCTGCCTGAAGTAAATGAAATAATTCACAGATACCATGTACTTCGAGTTTCTTAAGCCAAGGCAGTCGAAGACGAATAGATTGAGTCAATGAAGTAGCTACACATAGAAGAAAAATAAATAAGTACTAACGTTCATTTTCAATAAAACTTGTAAATCAATGAAACCTTAGTTCTTCTCTATCTTTACATTTTACAGCGGCTAACATAACTTAACGACGGAAACTATTTAGAATATTCGTGGCTGTGAAATTACATTGTAATATTTTTACAATTTCTGTTTTACTTTCTTCAACTCGTTCAAAATGATGAATTCTAAATAGTCGTAGTACATACCATTTTCTGGCTGGTTTTTTGCATCTACAGCTAGCGTGTGCAGTCGATGGAGATGCTTTACTATTGGGATTATGTCATTGAGACATGTAACATCACTAATTTGTAGATCTTCAACGTACTCCATATATGTCCAAGAAGAGACGACATGTTTACTTATCTTTGCTGATATGATAGTTGAACGTAAACAACAAGGCATCGTATAGAATAATAGACAACTGTCATCTTCATTCAAAGAATAGCTAACTCGCATATGATTTGGCCACGATTTAAGTAGATGATCTATTCGGCAATTTGACTCTGAGCAGTAATATCGAATGAGAAAATGAAATTGTTTGAGGCTTGACGGTAGTATTGGTATGAGATTACTTCCGTTGACTAGACGTTCATCGTTGGTCCATAAATCAAATGTTAATGTTTCAAGAAAAGGCATCTGATTTAATATATTGACAATGGTATCGAACATCCCCACAAAATCGGCAAAGCGCAACTGAAAATCGGTTAAATAAATCAAAGGTGATAAATCAGCGAAGAGTTTACGTCCGTCTTCTTCGTGCGAGCTTTTTTCAACACATACATGTAAACGATGTAGATTGGGTAGAAGTGTAAAAAGGCATGGTAGTATTTGGATAGACTCCAAATTAATTTTAAGCTCTTGAATGTTTGGAAATGAAATATTTTTATGATTATCTTCAGATAAATTCAAAGCAATGGAGTCATTATCGAAGGATACCAGTCTGAGTCGTCTGTTGTTACTAGCGAAAATCTTTCTCATTAATGTATCGTCTACATCTTCTCTGAGAAATCGTATATCAAGTTCGACCAACTGTGAAAGATCTGTAAGGTTGTCAAGAAAGGTAAAAAGGCGTTTACCAGTGAAGCATTTCAGTGTTAATTTTTCAATTTGAGGAAAAATATTTGAAATGAACGAGGTGAAAAGCAGAGTGAATGCTTTCTGAGAGATTATTATCTCCCAATTACCATTAATAACAAACGATCGAATGGAAGAACCGATCAAAGGTAAAATTTGAGACACTACATAATCAAACTGATGATGAGGAACAGCCATTAAATTCACATAACGGCAATAACTTGTGATCGTAAGGTTAAGACGAGCACGTAGATTTAAAAAAGCATAGAGAACATCGGACCCACGAAGATAACTGCACATCTTTAATATCATTTCATCGGGCAACATTTCAAAAGTATAAACAGAAGACATCTAGAAAATTTAGTCATCGAATACTCCTGACATTTATTTTGTATTCAATTACTTTCACATTACTGTGTTAACAGCTGATAAAACTCTCAATAAGGTCATAATGCAAAACATAATTTTATTGGAATATTTATCAACGTGCAGAAACGACTTGCCGTAGTTGTCGCTTCATACCTACGGTGAAGGGTTTATGAATTAATGCAAATTCGAATCAAATTACAGTACATCACCATTTTTCTATGAGTAATTGATCGTTTGAAAATGAGTAGGCAGATTAATTCGAAGTTAATGTGTTGAACTGAGGATTTCTCGCAAGAATTCAGACATGATAAATATCAATCGAGTATTCGAAACATGTATCTCAATTTGTTAGTCCCCAAAGATTATTTTACTAGAGATTTAGAATACGAATGAGTGCATACATTTGCATAATTAAAATTGAAAACCTATTTCTAATTTCAAGTCTTTACTCGAATACCAATTAGTGTATTGCTTCTATTCGAGGAACAAACATGTTTCATTATTTTCGAAATAACCCGTTGCCTACACTTTTGCCCATAAGCTTTCTAATGTACATGGAAATATATTTGTTTTGTTTTTCTTTATTTATAGACATAGTCTATCATGTTTTATTTTCGAGTTGTTAATATAGTTTAACACAATATAAAAATACGACATTTTTGTCATTTGAATTTTTGTAATTGCATTCCACTAACTGACTGTAACTTGCTTGCAAATAGAATATTATATTTCAACACGTAAGATACAATAATTATCTTATTATTTCACAAATCTTCACTTCATCGATCTTAATGCATTTTTTTTTCTAGAGGGAGGGTACCTGTTAGTTTTAGTTATCTAATTCTGTTTTTTTCTCTCAGAATAATTATCAATAGAATTATTGCTCGTCTTCACATTCGTTCAATGGTAAATATATGTCGTAGGATAGATTAAAATCCAGTACAGTTTTAAATCGAACTAGGACAGATTAAAATTTTAATTTTTCCTAGTTCAGATTAAAATTTTAAAGTGAACTAGTTGACTTCGAAATGCATTTTAATCTCAACTAGTTGACTNATTTCGAAGTCAACTAGTTCACTTTAAAATTTTAATCTGAACTAGGAAAAATTAAAATTTTAATCTGTCCTAGTTCGATTTAAAACTGTACTGGATTTTAATCTATCCTACGACATATATATGTTCACATTTTTTGCTAGGTAATGGTGCCCTACTACATATTAAAGCTGACTTTTTCATCAAATAAATTTGAATTGTGATAATTGTATACTTTTTAATAGATTTAAAATAGGTTTTTTGTTGCGTACTTCATTAGAATTTTGTGTCTACATTGTATCTCTATAAATATATATTTGAATACTTCAAAAAAGAAGTTTGAGTTGATCATAAATTGTTAAATTATTAAAAGAGAAATTTATAAACACATCTTTATTTATTTTCAGTTAGAAAAATATTATATGAAGTTCAATATGCAAACAAAGATGAAACACTCATAGCTTCAGTTGTGAACTCATACAAACTCGTCCAAATATAGAGTGTAGCCAAACAGATTTCAAGCTATGTAATTCTTTTTAAACCCTTTCAAACTTGTTCTTCTAAAAGCGTTTCAATCCATATAACTGAATAATCAGTACAATTAAACAATAACATAATCTACGTCATCAAATTTTTATGCGTCAGTTATAAAATTAATTAATTAAAAAGTTTGAAATAGACTGTTTTGTTATCCAGTTGTACGCATTGAAACATTAATATAAATTATTTGGAAAGATAATTGTCAGAGATAGCAAACTCATGTTATTCAACTTGTCCACTTTGTTTAATCTTTGACGTCAAGTAAGTGTTGCATTTTTTTTCTTTCGCGCAAATTATTCAAGTACAGTCGCATAGAATTACTGTTACTTTTTCTCATTTTTTTACGCGTTCCGTTTAGAGAAATATTGCAGTCCTTATTTGGTTTCTTTCATTCGATTCCTGGAGATGTTCATAACGATCTCTCATTTCATCTAATGGATTGAAAAAAAGCAATCGTCTTAGAAATTTTTGATTGGTATTTAAAAATCAATATTGTTCAACATGGCAAGTAATAATACGACAGCATCCTCTGATTATTCCAAAGGAATGCGACGACCGGCACTGTCCAATGTTCTTGTTTGTCTTCTTATTCCGTCGTTAACTTGTTCAATCTACCTGTTTTTGTGTACTCAAAAAAAAGAGTACACTATAGAATCGGTCAGTGTGTCCGGTCGGCCGTCCGTCCGTCCATTTATTCGATAGCTCCTCACAATTACATTCGATTGAGCTGAAATTTTGTGCACAGAATTGTCTCATTAATATCTAGGTCGAATTCGAAGATGAGAAGGATCCGTCAAGAAATGACTGAGATATCGAAAAAATTGTCATTTTTGACCAGACCATCCCTGAGGGGGACTACAGGGATTTTTCAAAAAACACTTTTTTTCTCAGAATTACCCGCAACATATAGAAATCGACTCAGTTTTTAACGCTGATTCTACATCTGATATTAGTTTTGAACGATACCGTAGCTTTCTAACGAAACATTGCCTGAAAAACGTCTCAAAATGCACAAAAACTGCATCCAGAAATCAAATTGGCTAGTTTTTCATGATAATTTTTGTGTTCAGACATTCTAGAATGACTCATATGTCCCATGCACTTTGTGCAGTACACATAACTCTCGGATGAAATCCGAAGTTCCCACATTTATTTTCAATTTGCTACGAATCATGTACTTCGTAGACAAATTCACAATCGAATTACTTTATTTTTACTCGTCGCTTATTTTCTTCAAGTAAATAAGACACTAGATAATAAATATTATAAGCTATCAACAGATATCCTTTTTTTTAATCATTTAGGTTATCACAGATATACCATTTATGTTGTCATTACTACATCATGGCAATGTCTATCAGTCAGAGCTCTTCTGTCAATTGTGGATACTTACAGATTACGTTCTCAATGTAGTAATTTTGATGTTGGCATTTTATTGCTCTATAGAAAGATATATTATGGTTTTTCGTATCACATGTAACCCTATTATATTATATTCCGATTGTTTTTTGTTTTATGTATCCTACTACATTCTATATTATTGTACTATTTTATTATCCATGTACAACTATGTTTTCGTACGATATGTATACTTGTGGTGAACCATGTTATTTGTTTGATGTTAGAGTCAGCGCATTTGATAAACTAGCCCATATAATTGTTCTTGCTGTTGGAACTGTTTTCGTTTCGAGTATTCTTCTATGGCGTATTATTCGTCAGAAACAACCTATAAAGCAACAAAATACGTGAAAAAACAATCGTCGCATCACATGGCAAATATTGTCTGTTTGCTTTCTGCATACTGCGGCTTGGGGTTCAATTGTAACTGTTATGCTCATAGTACTTTTTTCACCCGTATATAATCCAGATCTTATTTATATTTTAATCAACTGGGTTCCATTTAGTTACTTTTTGATTGTTCTACTCTATCCTTTTGTTTGCCTTGTAGGACTAACTGAGGTTTGGCTGAAGGTTCAAAAATCGGTGAGACGTCAATTACGTCTGATCAAGAACACAATCGGAGTAGAATAATTCATCGAATATTCTTACAAATTCTTATTATATCTGTGTCCTAAGAAAAGAACGTTTTTGTTAATATGATATAATATAATCATGTTAGCTCGAACCATTTGAATCCTATGAATTTGTGTGTAATCTTTTATTACTAGATTTGAACAGACCACGGTTACGAAATCCAGCTTTCTATATTTTGACTAGATGAAATTTGACTCATGATGCGAAAAATTTGTTTCGAAAGATGATCTAAATAGAAAAGTTGATAAGATGAATATAAAGTAATATGTGTATTGTGAGCTTATATATTTTTTTTCTAAATCAAAATTTAATGAAAAGTAATTGATAACAATCAGAAAATAGTCTATCCAATTAGAATAGATTCAGCTAGAAAAGATTCATACTTTTATATGTCAGCTCGACTCTGCAAGGATGAATGAGCAGTGCTAATAAACAATTAGTTTCCATATGAGAATTGATTGACTTAAAAAGGATGATAATATGAAAATAGACTAGTTCAATCGAGTATAATTAAAGGCGATATTTTATCATCTTTGAATGCTGCCAACCAAATCTGACAAATATTATACTCAAAGCCACATTTTTTTCTGATCGACAAGAAGATCATTCAATGTTTAAGATATATTATAGAAACACTGATATAAGCTAAAGAAGAGCTCTATATTATTCAGTCAATAATAGCTTGATAATATCATCTCTTATTTAATCGTAGATAGTTGAGTATTTTCAGGTGCATAGCATGAACATAATAAATGTGTGAGTATCATTTTTATTCACAAAAACATAATTTTAGCTTTTGATCTAATTTCACATCAGATCTTCAAAAATAGTGTATCATTAACGGATCACAAATTTCAGTAATGTCTTTATGTTACTATGAGAGAAAAATTCACATAACCATAGAATACTATTTCTTTTGCCCCCAATCAAAAATGTTGAAGGAATAGTTGAATAGTTGATGATTTTCTTGATGTATCTTCGCTCGCATTCTAAAATATTTATCAACAGTGGTTTCTAGAACTATAATTTCTATGAATATTCCATCACAACTGTATTTTCTTTCAATTAGTTTTTTTTAGATCACATCGAAAACACATTTATTTCTGCTCGCTCCATCTGAATAAAGCTCTCTAGATTGTTTCGTTAATTGTGATCTACAAATGTATTTTATGAAGTAGAATGAATGAGAAGCAACACAATAGTGTTTCCTTTTAGATCCCTGATTTGGATTATCAAAGAAGATTGTTTATATTAAGTAAAAATAAACACTGCTGCATATTTTGATCTTAACTTTATGCGAATTATTAAAAATTTGAGGAAATATCTCTATAGTCATCTTTTTTATGTCTTGATCTTGTATTAAAATTAAAATTACTAAATGAAAAAGAAATCACAGAAAAATTTAATTAATTTAATATCGAACAACAATTGCTGAATCAAAATCCTGTAAATCGTTTGTTGTTTACCTACAAGTAGAACTTATTTATTCTTATCTAACGAGTTATGAGAAAAAAGTGGTATGTTTGTACGCTTGCGTACTTATATGCCATCTTCATTCTTATTGAAAATCGACAGCATGAATATCAGTCCTATCAATTCAGTTTTAGTATAGTATAGCTACAGGAATATTGAATATACTTCTGAAAATTCGAGAAATGATCATCTTATTTTATAGTTTCTTAATATCTTCTATTCCCTGTTTGAGATCGTTAAAAGAGAAATAGTGAACATTATTATACTGTCTGCAAATATTTAATCAAAGTACCGTAACACATACATTTTTTTTCATTCTTTTTCATGACAAACTGCTGCATTTCTATACGTCGCATGTCACTAACTGCTATAATGCGCTCAGAAGAAATTGGATTAGAAATCAATTGATGCCACATGAAATACACTGTCAGCAATTGGAATTTTCCAACTTCGAAAAATTCAGTACATAGTCACGGCTGGTCAAGTCACACTAATGATACCTCACTCATAATAAAATACGATATTCGTAGTTATTAAGGCACTGAATTATATAGATACTACAGTATAGTGCAACAACTAATTATGTTAATATAAAATGCACCCTGAGAAAAGCGTTCGAAAAAGTCGATCAGCATATTGTGGAAACTTTATCAAAACAGTCAGGATAAAGTATTAACTGTGAAGTTCTATTTAGTTATCGTGTCGTCAGTGAAAAATTTATAATATCCTTCTGATAAGTGAGACTCCTACGTTGACAATTAGACGATATCACTCGGTAGAAGGAATTTTGAATAGCGTATCGGTCTGCCTTAATAATATACTTACATCGTGCAATTGCTTTGCTCAAACCTCGTGATCAGTGAGGAAAATTCTAATTGATCGAAATTAAGTAAGAGCTAGTAGATAATGTTGAAAGTCGTGCTACTATTCACTTTTACGGTCTAATTGCCCAAGAAAAAGAGAAGATTACAAGCTACGTAACAACTGAAAATCATTAGGAATCATTCCAATCAAATTACCAAACTTATTCGATCTCTGATTGCAATCATTTATCATTTATAAAATACTTGTTTTAGTTGCACATAACCATAATGACTTTTAAGATGAAAGTTTTTCTTCATCCTATGAATTTCTGAGCTTTTGTATTTTTTAAATTTATTAGTGGTTCTGCTAGAAAGAAAAACTTATTAAATATTTTAGCAGTGTAAAAATGCAACGTTCAATGCTTTAATTCTTTATGATACCACAAAATTTTAAATATTTTATCACTCTACAAATTGATTATTAGACCATATGCCTTCTTTGATGTTGCCTGTCGGAAGGATCATCTTACCCATCCCGTGCTTCTTGTCATCTCTGTATTCACCCAGGAATTATTTCTGTATTTTATGAAGTGAGTAAACAGGTAAGATTCAATATTATAAAAGCGGACGTCGAAGCTTTGCAAATGAGCCCTCTCGTATCGCTTGCCATCAGGCCATTTGAAAGTGCCTTGCCCACTCTTCTTGTCATTTTGATATCGACCCATCTAATATTTGTTCATTATGTTAACTGATATTATATGCAAGCTCCAACAAGAAAATTTTGATCACCAGCCATTTTTGAACATCTGAACTCATAGCTTCTGCCATCAGGCCACGTTTGGATTCCTTCACCGTGTTTCTTTCCATCCCTGAACTGCCCCAGTGGCTGTTTGCCAATTGCACTTATTCAAACAAACAACAAACTTAAGCATAATTCAGATCCTCGTCTAAAATTTGTAAATATATAAACTCGTATTTAACCCCATCAGCCAATATCAAGATTCCCTTGCCATTTTTCTTGTCATCCTTAAACTGACCCTGCGAATATCCATTTAATGTATCATTACAATTCTAATCAAAAGCTGCGTGTAAGTGATGTCCGCAGCTAACAATTTTTGCGCTTCTATGCTCATAACGACTACGTTTGGGCTCAGTATAAACTCCCACCCCATGCATCTTGTCGTCTTTATATTGTCCCAGTGACTATTCTTTCATTGTGCTAGTTCTGTTCTATTTTACAGTACGATGTTATACAGATGATTTCTAATAGTTTCTGGATTCTTTATCTTGTGTTGCGCACCATTGGGCCAAGTTTGAACACCCTGCCCGTGAAATTTTCCGGATTTAAACTGGCCCAGAGACTGTTCAAACATGTTGGCATGTGAGTTGAACAGTAGTTTATAGAGCTAGATAGAATCACAAGTGATTTATGAATAGTTTAACTGATATCGTCTACCATTTGGCCATATTAACATACCTACTCCTTGCCTCTTATCTTCTTGGTAGTCTCCCAACTGCTGTTTGCAAATTAAATCAAAGAAGACCGATGAGAAAATTCAACTCTGTACAAGCATGTTTCACAAATTTCAGAATGCATCATCTCGTATCTTTTGCCATTGGGCAAGATGAAAATGCCTTTTCCACTTTTCTTATCCTCTTTGTAATTTCCCAACTGCTATTTGTTAATCCCATTGGCTGAATTCACACTAAAATGACGAAAATATTGGTATAACTATGACCTATTCACGAATATCTCATCTCGTATTGCTTACCATCAGGCCATTTGAAGATGCCTTTTCCGTTCTTCTTGTCGTCTTTATATGATCCCGGTGAAATTTCACTTACCGAATTAGTCAAATTTCAAAGATGAACATAATACAGCAGATATGATCATCAAACCATTTTTGAATACCTGATCTCATAACGCTTGCCATCAGGCCATGTGTAAACTCCTGACCCATGCTTCTTGTTACATTTAAACTGTCCCAACAGCTATTCACTCGCTTGATTGATCCAGTTTGATTAAATGATTGAATCCCTATAAGCGCTGAAAAGAGATTTATGAATATCGCTTCTGGTACTCTTCACCATTCGGCCAAACTTGAATGCCTGTTCCACTTTTCATATTATTTTCAAATGATCCCAGGTACTGGTCAAATATTATACGAAAGAACATTAGGTATCAATATCAATAAATATATAATGCTTACTTAATATTTTTGAACGTTAAGTCTTATATGACTGACCATCTGGCCAGATGTCGTGACCTTGACCCATTAATTTCCCATTTTGAAAGTCACCCTACCAATATTCATTTATTGCATCAGCCATCTACTATTATATAGATAAACACTAAAGAAACAACTACTGGATCTTTTTTAACGCTTCATCTCGTATCGTCGTCCGTCTGGCCAGCTCATGATACCTTTTCCAGTTTTCTCATCGGCGATAAATTGTCCTGTATACTGCTGACCATCAGGCCAAGCATAGATGCCTTCACCCTCGAACTTGTCTTCCTTGAAGTCCCCCAATATTTGTTCACTTGATCCATCAATATAATCAAAATGAAAATCCTATTGCTATTATCATGATTAAGAGACATTTTTGTATATTTCATCTCGTATCGTCCACCATCGGGCCAAATATAAATACCGTGACCCGAAAATGTGTCGTTTTGAAATTCACCCGATATTTGTTCATTGGTCACATGAACCTTATCCAAGTAAAAGTTCGAATATGATTGGAGTGAGCACAGTACGTTTGGGAATACCTTAACGTATACTGTCGACCATCTGGCCAAGTATAGACACCAGTACCAGCCAACTTGTCATCTTGCAGTTGACCCATTGTACATTCAATCATTGTATAGATCAAGTTGTAATTGAAATGCAAAACTTTACTAAATATCATTCAAAATTAATGAACATTTTTTCTCATACTTTCGCCCATCTTCCCAAATAAAAATACCTTCACCTGTTCTTTTATCTGCGATCCAATCACCTGTATAATTGCTTCCATTAGCATATGCCATTGTGCCTTTTCCATGCTTTTTGCCACCTTTGCATTCACCTTTCAGATTGTTCTTTTATTTCATATTTTACTGTTTGATTAAAATATATACCATGATTTTCAGTAGTATGGTTTATAAACCGGTAGTTCGTATCGATTGCCGGCTTCATCAGTTAAAATTCCGAATGTTAAAGATTTTGTGGTTGGTACTACTGGAGTAGAAGATGATGACTCATTTTGGTCATAGATCTCTTGTAAATGTACAACATGTAATAATGGACTCTCGAGGGCATTTGATACAACACGAAGCCGAGTGGCTAGAGAGAGAAGAACTTCTTTCTCTTGTGAAAAGCTACTATACAGCGATATATCTTTACCACGTACTGCTTCAACCAAAAATAGTGTTGAAGTGCGGTTAAGAAAACCTTTGATAACATCAATAGAAGGCGAACAGGAACTGATGCCCCACCAAGTAATTATGTCATCTTTTTTGTAGTTGTCTGCAATATCTCTTTCAATGCCTCGCCACAGATTCATACGAACATCTGGCAGTTTCTCTATAGCTGCATGAAATAACTTCAAATATGGAAACCATGGCTTCACCGCATCTCGATCCTTTGAACGAAGAGCTTTGTTAAGAACTCTATAAAGAGAACTCTCATCCGACTCAATAGTATAAAGGTAGATAGCAGCGGATTCATCGCGTGTGAGGTGATGTTTTGAAGGATAAATACAGTTTTTTTTAGCAATCGTTATGCTTTGATCCAAGTATTTGACATGACGGCATATTGGTTGAAGAGCTTGCTTTAGAGAAAGTAATGGGCCATCTGAATAACCAAAAATATGGGGAAGTCGTTTGGGGTGAGACTCCACATCAGAGAAGCGATGCATACGTAGCAGAAAAATTAATGCAGACAAAAAGTTACACGAAATCAGTATGTCAGAATGTTAGTTATTTTATTTCAGCTGTATCGAGTCAATTTATGAGTGGTAATGTGTTTGGTCGGTAGCTTAATTGAAACTCTCTGAATAATTTATGTAATTTCCACAAAATAAAAATTCCATGAACCTCCAACTGTACATCTTTCAATATAGACTAATGGACACCTGCGGCTGTTTTTTTTATTGTAGAAAATGTAAAACAGAAAAAAATACATTATATTATGCATTCTCTTACATGTAAGTGTGAGTCATGAGTGTGAGTGCTCGTTACATCTGTAAGTTGGACTTGTTACTTTACATGCGACATAACAACATTATTTTTGAGCTTGCAGTGAAAATAAAATCAATTAAGAAAGTCATACTGGCGAAAAGTGTTTGAATAATTTCCCTTGCAGTATAACGAACTTTAAATGTCCTATCATACACAAAAAATATTTTCGATAAGGAATTTTAATAGGCTCATCATTAATTTTGCTATACTGTATGCATTTAACACAAGAATATAAATTTGAGAGTAGACAATAAACTCTCCGTAATTATCATCGATAAGATATGTTTCTCTTTCATATTGCTTTTCGTTCATTTTTATTATTAATTCAGTACATACGCTTTCATCTTCTTAAACGTGATGAATATACGTGCTGAATGTTTTTCACTTTTGATAAAGACAAGCTGGATTATCAAAAACAAGAAAGTTAGATAGCAAATCATGAAAAGTTAATTTTATTCAATCGTAGAAGCTCATCCGCATACTTTTAACAATGATCTTTGCTTCCATTATGACAATAAAGTAATTCTGTTTTCAACTGTTACAATCATAGTACTACTTAAACATTATCAAGTAGTATGACTTCGTTCTGAGCCATTCTAATGTCAAGGAATGGCTAAATGAGGTTTTTTCTCCTTAAAAGGTATTCTAAGCTTTTTATCCTCCAAGTCTCAACTCTACTTGACTCGATGCTTCAATGTGTCTTTCCTTGTTTCGATATGTGAGACAAAATATGGTTAGAATATTTTGCGTAGTCTAAAGTTAAGTCATTTCTCAAATTTTCAGCGAAATACACACGTATTTTTTACTGACACAGATGAAATTGTACATAATTAACAATGATTAAAAAAGTCATTAGAACTTTCAATGTAATTTTGAATAATAATTTACTAGGACTCTGTTTGATGATCTCGTTTCTATCTCTTTCAGTTCTCTCTGTCGACAGTGATAAACGATATACTGATTGAAGATTTGAGGATATAGGTGACTCTGCAAAGTCCTTCAGATTTTACTCAGTTATATAATTTCAAGCAATTGGTAGTTGCAATCGCATACTGATAGCATTCAATTCAACATTGTGGCAGAAACTTCAAGAAGTGGACTATATTTAACGTTATTAACTTTTGTGAATAGTCATCACATTGTCTTAAGTAGCTGATTTACTTATGATTTCTTCGTCTGTTTGCGGATATTTGGATCTTAACATATAAAGGGCGTGTTAATTCGTCCATATTGATTGTTTGTGACCGACAAGACTTCGAAACAAATGAATAAGATCTTATCATGGCTGCTTTTGACGTAACTGTAGTAATGGCTGTCGAAGATGTTCTTAAAAATCGAGTGGTTGAAACGCGTTCCAAGATGATGATCTTTGATTTTTCAATTTAATTTTGGTTAACCATTGTAAAACAGTACCACCTAACAAACCTCACAACAAGCGAGATTTTCTCATCGTCGAGAATGAATCGATTTATCATTAAATTTCTTCTAGAATCGTTAACTAAATAATGACATTTTCTTCGTTTGTTGTATCGTATTCTTTCAATTTAACATTATCTTGTTATAACGATTGTAGTGGCAGTTATGTTAAATCTGGATTTCATTTCACCGTTCATATTTTTCTTCTACCATAATAGCGTTCGTTTGAATCACTAGCTGCTACCAAATGTTAGCTTGAACTATTTATAAATAACCCGCGAGACAAGATCGATACATAAAAACAATCAGCTTAATCAAGTTCTTTTTCAGTCAAAGCACCTTTTATCAAATAGCACCTTAGCGCCACTTTATTTAACTATAGTCCACGTAATTAATCACACAGTATATCAATTTATTTGAGAAAAATTCTGTATGAGATATTCAGGACGGATTAAAATGTACAAACAATATTTCATTATTCGTTTGTGCTCTTTTAGAAATTAGAAGCGTGATAAAATGTGATATCTTGTCATTATTTTTTCGTTGTTCCGAGTAATGGTTATTCGAGTAATGTAAACACTATGTCTTTGTTGTTAGCTCTTCGTTTTATAATGCATGACTCTACCATCGAAAACAGAAATGACTCATCAGAAAAGGTTTGGATACCTGTAATATGCGTAACAAAGCGTACCGAATAAAATTTCTTCATTTTTATCTTCTACTTGTATGGCAAATGACTCGCTAGGCTGTGCCATAAAATAAAAAAACGTTGATCCTGAATGGTTAGTAGAGCACTATTCAATATAGAAACAAAGAAGGAAGGAAGTCCTACTGCCGATTTTGTTATCGTTGAGAGTGCAAGAGCATTGAATGAAAAATGGCTTGTTGATTCATTCGTTTAGGATTGATTTCTAGCAGACTCCTAGAGGGTGAGAAGTATCGCTAGGATCGTTGACTATTAGTAAAGACTGAGCCTCTCCTAGTTTTACAGTACAGAAAAGTTGAGTTAAAATAGGACCCTTTTTCTTATCCATAGACCTGAAGACAGTGAGTAATAGATTGCAACATTTTCATGTTAAGACAACGAATCAAATGCTAATGTACAATATACCAAAGTTCCAGATGAACCATTTTTGTTTTCCTTTATTTCTTTGTTTGTTTCGTTTTTAAACGATCAAAAATACAGAATTCTAACACAATTTTATTAACAGTACTCATTTTATTTTATGTTCTATGTAAGTGCAATATTTATGGCACGGATTACATCGTTCTCAACTGTCGACGTCAATGTTGCTCAGGTTATTCTAGAATTAGTTATAATTTTGTCGATTGTACTGGAACCGGTACGAAGCGATTTCATGAGACGTTTCATCAATATCATTGTTGGAGGTTTATTACTAGAAACGATCCTTATCGCCTCATATAGCTACATGCTACATGCTCTATTGAATGTTCGCGTGGCGGCATTTATTTGGAATATATATAAAATTGTTCGGCTTTTTATTAGCATTGGATTTTGCTATCCAATTCTTGTTTTTCTAGGTCAAAAAATTAAGTCACATGTCGTTTTTCTAGTTATCGCGAGTATTATTGTGGGTGCAAGCGTAGTTGATTACCTGCGGCGTGTTCCCGATACACAATCAGGTTTTAACAATGTCTCTTTTATGCTCATATTTTTGTTTACATTAGATCAATATTACAAGCTCAGCGAGCATATACTTGCTGAAGATGGAGAAGGTATTCGAGGTATGAAAAGTTTGATTGCCATCGAACTGGTTCTTATTGCACTGAATGGTTTATTGATTGTTCTATTCTTTGGCGGATCAACTCACTTCTTACAACCATTGCGATTGTCGATTACTTTAACTCAGTACTTAAAAATTTATTTAATCATATGCCACTCTTTGCTTCATTTAAATACGCATCATAATAAATATTTATCACAAAAATTAATCAAGTCAGGCACTTTAAATTTTGTTTAAATAATTTGATAGTTTCACATGCTCAGAAATAAATATAAGAAAAAAATAATTTACTATCACTACTTGCTTTTAGTTAAACTCTAACTATAAGCAGCGTGGCGCAGTGGAAGCGTGCTGGGCTCATAACTCAGAGGGCGGTAGATCGAAACTACTCGCTGCTATTTTCTCTTTTTTTCATTTTCACTTTTATGCATACCTCTAAAATATGATGCAATATGATGCAATGAAGAACAGAACAGGAAAAGCATTTCACTATAACTATTACCTTGTGCGAGATGCTACATTCAAATTCATTGACTACTTGATTCGTAAATACTTTTGTTTAATTGGCGTATTTGAAAAAGTCTAAATAGTTATAATTGAAGACAAGTATTATCAAGAACAGAGATACTGACATAAAAATGTGATCGAATCATAAGTAGAAAGAATATCGTTAATTTTTTCTATGTCTAAAAGTCAAATAAAAATTTACATTTGATTAATTATTTCATTTTCTTCCCAACAGATGGTTGATGGTTAGTTGTTCAAGTTCAATTTCAATTGGATTTCCTCGTTGAACTTTTGTAATTCTAAACGGGATTCCAGGCATGACGAGAACTTCTTCTTCGTCGGGAAACTCAGAAATGCCCTCCAAATCGATTGTAAAATT